TCATTCTTCTTTGCTCTGGACAAGGAGAGACCCATCGTTGCATCTAGATGGCTACTTGCAAGCTTTTAAGATCCCAGTTGCTACTCACCAAAGTAGGAAGTGGAACAATGTTTTGTGTAGTATGTTATGCCAATTGTGCTTGATGTCCCCTGTGACTATGGTCCTGAGCTCACAGGTTCAACTACTCAGTCCCTCTGGGTAGCTGGCTGTGACCAAGAAGTAACTACAAGATTGTCCCTTGTCAGCTCTACTATACACCTGGGAATTCAGATCATACAAATACACTTATAGGGCCATTGTCCACCAACCCTATACATGGTCTTGGGTACACTCCCTGCTTCATAGACATACCTAATAATTCAGCCTGTCCACCCATCTATCCACCGGTATACCCATGTTTCCCTTCACTGACAACACAGTACTGTATGTGCAAAAGGGTTCATCTTTGTTGTCTGTACCTCCCATGCACCTCTCTATGTCTTCCTCTTCCTCAATGCCACCATGTTAATCACTCACATTTGGTACATTGCCCTTCTCTTCACCCAAATCAATACTTATCTCAACCTATCTAACAGTGTTCCCTCTCCTCCCCTCCCACCCCTGGTAACCAACAAAGAAAATTTCCTTCCCTATCTAAACCTTTCCTTGATTTTTACAATAACGGACTAATACAATATTTGTCCTTCTGTGATTGACTTATTTCACTCAGCATAATGTCCTCCAAGTTTATTATTTGGACATTCTTACAGTGCATACAAATACATATGTAGAAATATCATCTGCCAACCTTATATATGGTCATTGGTGTATTCTGTTTTGCACAGGCATACCTGATCATTCAGCCTGTCTACCCATCTATTTACCTGTAGATTAATGTTATCACTGACGACACAGTATTATATATGTAAAAGGGTTTATCTTTGTTGTCTGTACTCCGCATGTACCTCTCTGTGTCTTCTTGTGTCACCATAGATCAATGCTTGCCATCACTGACAACACAGTACTGTACATTCAGAAAGGTTCATCTTTGTTGTCTGTACCTCCCGTGTACCTCTCTCTGTCTTCCTCTTCCTCAGTGCCATGATATTGATCACTCACTTTTGGTTCATTGTCCTTCCCTTCACCCAGATCAATACTTGTCTCTACCTATCTAGCAGTGTTCTCCCTCCCCTCCCATCCCTGGTAAGCAACAAAGAAAGTTTCCTTCCATACATAAACCTTTCCTTGACTTTTTACAAGCGTGAACTAATACGATATTTGTCCTTCTATGATTAATTTATTTTACTCAGCATAATGTCCTCCAAATTCATCCATGTTATGCAGAGTTTCACAGATTCTACATTATTCTTTAGTGTTGCATAGTATTACATTATGTGTACGTACCATAGTTTGGTTATCCATTCTTCTGTTGATGGGCACTTAGGTTGTTTCCATCTCTTTGCTGTTGTGAATAGTACTGCAGTGAACATGGGTGTGCATATATCTGTTCATGTTTGGGCTTTCACTTCTTAAGATATGTACCTGGTAATGGGATTGCTGGCTTAAGTGGCATTTCTGTTTTCAGCTTCTTAAAAGGAAATCACCATACCAATTTCCATAGTGGTTGTATCATTTTACAGTCCCAGCAGCAGTGTATGAGAGTCCCAATCTCTCCATATTTTCTGTCTTGTTGAACTTAGTTATTAGTGGTTGAGTGAGATGGTATCTCATTGTTTTGATTTGCATTTCTCTAATGGATAACGATCACAAACATTTCTTCATCTGTTTGTTGGCTGCCTGAATATCTTCTTTGATGACGTGTCTATTCATGTCTTCTGCGCGTTTTTCTATTGGATTGTTTGTCTTTTTGATGTTAAGGTGTTGGAGTTTTTCATAAATTTTAGAGATAAATCCCTCGTCATCCCTATGTCATTACTGAATATTTTTTCCCCAGTCTGTAGGTTCTCTTTTTACCCTTTGGGTTAAGTATTTTGAAGCACATAAAAATTTAAATTTTAGAAGGTCTTAATCATCTAGTTTATCTTCTGCTGTTTGTGCATTTTGGGTTATGCTTAATAATCTATGTATGCCATAAATTAGAGCCCCTAAGTTTGCCCCTACCTTTTCCTTGAGGAACTTTGTAGTTTCAGGTTTCCCATTTAAGTCTTTGTTCCACCTAGAGTTAGTTTTTGTGTATGGTGTGAGGTATGGCTCTTGTTTCATTTTTCTGCAAATGGATCTCCAGTTTTGCCAGCACCGATTGGTAAAGACACTATCTCTTCCCCATTTAATGGATTTTGGCCCTTTGTCAAAAATCAGCTGACCATAGGTCAATGATCTATTTCTGGGTTCTCAATTCTATTCCGCTGCTCTGTGTTTCTGTTGTTGCACCAATACCAAGCTGTTTTGACTACTGTGGCTGTATAGTAAGTTTTGAGATCTGGGAGTGTGAGACCTCCTACTTTGTTGTTCTTCTTCAATTAAAAAAAAAAAACCTCACTGCCATCGAGTCAACTCCGACTCATAACAACCCCCTTTAGGTTTCCAAGGTGGCAAATCTTTACAGAAGTAGATTGCCCAATCTTCCTTCCATGGAGTTGCTGGTGTGTTTGAACCACCAGCCTTCTAGTTAGCAGTCAAATGCTTTAGGCACTACGCCACCAGAGCTTCCCTTCTGCAATAGTGCTTTGCTTATCTGAGGTCTTTTTATTTTCCATATAAAATTAGTGATTGATTTTTCCGTACCCTTAAAGAATGTTGATGGTGCCTGGATTGGGATTGCTTTGGGTAATGTTGGCATTTTCACAATGTTCAGTCTTCCCTCCATGAGCATCCATTGTATGTTCTTCTGTTTATGTGGATATCTTAATTCTCCCCAACTGCTTTTTGAGAACAACGTGAAGGTCACTCATCTTCAGGCAGGAGCTCCTGAGCGCCACCCAGTCCCAGGCACTGTCATGTCTCGTGGTCAGTTACGCTGTCTCTAGGCTCCCCTGCCAAGCCATTCCCCACACAGCAGCCAGAGGGCACTCTGCCCCAACACACCTTGGCCCCACACCCTTTGGGGCACATCCTTGCTGAGAACAGCAGCTTTCATCCAGCTTAGGCTTTATGAACATCCAGTTCCTCCTGTGGTGTGGCCCCCACCTACTCTCCAGCTTCACCTCCAATTCTATCACCTTGTTCCTTCCTTTTCTTTTTTTTGTCTTTTAAATTGTGATTTGGGTGAAAGTTTACAGAGTGAATCAGTTTTCCATTCAACAGCTCATACACGCTGTGTGCCATACGTTGCAGTCCCCACAGGGTAACAGCACTTCTCCGCTTCTTCCCTGTGCTCACATTGCCCGTGTTCCTTCTTTCCCGCCCCTTCTTGTCTTCTGAGCTTTATCCCTAAACAAATGCTGCCTCTTTAGTCTCATGTGATTGATTGTTCTAAAGAGGGTGTACCTCCCTGGTGTTACTGTTCACCTTATAGGGCTGTCTGTTAACGGCTAGAAGTTGAGCCATGAGGGTAAGTTCAGTTCCAGGCTTGAAGGGGGTCTAAGAGCCATAATCTCAGGGATTCTATCAGTCTTTGTCAGACCAATAAGCCCGGTGTTCTTTTATGGTTTTGAGTTTCGGTCCACATTTTTCTCCCACTCTCTCCGGGACCTCCTTTTGTGATCCCTTTCAGAAGGGTCAGTAGTAGTAGCCAGGCACCATCTAGCTCTGGCCTCAAGGTTGTGGAGGCTGGGGTTCACGTGGTCCCTCAGTCCACGGGACTGACTGATTGCTTGCGTCTGATTTTCTCCCAGACAAAGATACTCCTCCTTCTGAATCCCCTAGTCGTCTCTACTTTCAGAGACACTGCACGGTTTTATGCCTCTCACTTTACTCAAGCTGTTCTTTCTGCCTCGGATGTCCCTCCCTTTTTCTGGGCCTAACTCCTCCTCTTGCACACTAGACTCGGTTATCACCTCCAGGATGACTTGCCACACACCTGAGTCAGTTGGTCCAGGGCCTGCAATGTGACTTTCCCCTAGATCTGTAGGCTCTGCACAGCTTAGGGCCAGGCACAGAGCAGACATCAGAGAACATTCGAGGAGCTGAGTGGCCACAGGAGAGCAGAGTTAGTGCCCAGAACCCCTTTCTCCCCGCAGGTACTGGAAGTTGGACCCTGCTCAGGTATACGCTAGCGGCCCCAATGCATGGGACACGGCTGTGCATGATGCCTCTGAGGAGTACAAGCACCGCATGGTAGGTGGGCTGGGATAGGCACGCACTCCTGAGGAAGGGCTGCACAGGAGGTTTCCTGTGGGCCAGCATGACCCACCCCTTCCTGTACCTCCAGCACAATCTCTGCTGTGACAATTGCCACTCGCATGTGGCATTGGCCCTGAACCTAATGCGCTACAACAACAGCACCAACTGGAACATGGTGACACTCTGCTTCTTCTGCCTACTCTATGGGAAATATGTCAGGTGAGTTGCCCTCCTGCCAGCCCACCCACTGCTGCCTTCCACTGGGGCTCTCTTCCAAGGGTCCCAGCCAGACCATTTCTGGAGTCCTTCAGTCAGTAGAGAGGAAGCAGATGCCAGCTGGAGCCTTGATGGTTCCATGATAAGAGGCTGGGTTCCTTGAGGAACAGGCGGTGGCTGTGCTAAAGGCAGAAAGCACTGGGCTTGGAGTCCAGCGGGTCCTGAACTCAGCTCTGTCACTTGTTCACTGTGAGCACTTCGGTAATTGACATGGCCTCTCTGAGCTGCAACTGTCTTCTCAAACACAGGGCTAATGATTCCAGCCCTTCAGGGAGCCTGTGACTCAAGTAAAATGAACAGCTAGGTCCTCACAGGATGGTGAAGTCATCAAACCACTGATGTGATCACCCCACACTGTCCTTTCCCAAGCCTCTCTCATCAGAGGCAGGACTCTGGACAGGTGGACCCCAGTGGTGACTTAGGAGGACCTTTGTAGCCAAGTGAGGTCAAAGGCATTACTCCCAATTCACAGGTAAAGAAGAGCTCAGAGAGGATGAGTAACTAGCTGATGGTCACACAGCAGAGCCCAGACTTTTGAACCAGCTCAGCACTTGGACTGGTTCAGCTGCCAATTTCCAAGTTTACGTCTAGCTGCTCTCATTCTTAAGAGCTTCTGAAAAGGAAACTCTTGGGGCTCTTTTTCAGCCCTGGGAAGCTTTTAGAGGTTCCCTGGCCTAAGTCCTCATTGTGTGGAGGGAGAAGACCATAGCTAGTCACACAGAGACCAAAGCAGAGTCCCTACTCCCTGCCCCATTGGCTCCAGCAGTGGGCAGAGGGCACTCCTAGCTTCCACATCCAAACTGGGGTTTTGGGTCCTCTCACTGGAGACTGCTCGCCAGAGGCGAGAGTGATTAGAGGTGGAGCCGCTGAGGACCAGAGAGGTGAGCATGTCTCCTGTACCACCCATCGAGGTGCTGGTCAGCCTCCACTGGTACCCTGGAATGGCCCCTGCCCAGGACCATGGTTGGTGGTCCTCCATGATGGGCTCCAGGCCCAGCCTCCTCTCGGAGCAAGGAAGTGATTCCAGGGGCTTCCTCAGGGGGCAGGAGCCCAGGCACAGGGCTCTGGATGGCTGGGCACCCACTCCTGCTCACTGGCCCTTCCCACCTGTGCTCTCCTCCCTCCTCTGTCAGCATCGGGGCCTTCGTGAAGACTTGGCTGCCCTTCATCCTCCTCCTGGGCATCATCCTAACTGTCAGCCTGGTCCTTAATCTACGGTGATGGCTACCCAGTGATCCTGGACCCACCAGTTCCTGAGGCGGCAGCCGCCACCCCCCTTAGTTCCAGAATCTCCTCACCCTGAAAGCGAGGGTGGCCTGCTGATTTTGTCCTGGGATTCTGGGCTAGGTGGGGACTGGGGAGGAGCATGGGTGGGGATGTTTGCTTATTGTGTCTCATTGGTCACTCCCCTGCTCCCTGGGCTCATAACCCCTGCCCTGAGTACCCTCTTTGGTTGTCTGTTGGAAAGGCCTTAGTTTCCTCTGTTTGTAGAGCCCCTCCTGCCCCAGCTGGGCCACTGCCTGCTGGGCTCATCTTGCCTCAGCCCCTCTGGTGCATCAGGTGTCATCCTTGGGCCCCGTGCCCGGTGTGTGGGGGGGGGGACATTTGGACCCACCCTAAGCCAGCACTGGGACCAGAGCTGATTTGGAGCCTGCCCTCCTGCCATTAGCTTTAGTCCAGGGCCATGAGGTACGCTGACCAGTTTCTATAAACTAAGCAGCTCTGGCTGGGGCTTTTACCATTGGCCTCTGGAATGGTCCAGTGGGGTTGGATGCCACCTTCCCCCAATATCTGCCAGAAGCTGCACTAGGGGTAGTTTGTGCCCCTGTCTTGGCATCTTCCAGCCTATGCAGCCTCCTCTTCCCACTCTTCCAGGGCCTCTCAGCTCCTAGGGCCCATCTCCCCCTGCCGTTTGGGGCCTGGGCTCCTCCTGCCAGGCGGCAAGGTGAGTGGAGCTAATGTCCCAGACTGACTCCCTGTAGACCAGAGTAATGTAATCTAGGCCCAGCCTCAGATGTGGGCCTCACGGCGGTGATGGCACCCCTGTATCTAAGATACGGGGGGCCATCGGAGTAGCCAGTGCCATTGGGGAGCTGGAGGGGGCCGTTTCTGCCCACCTGACTACAACTCGCCTTTTCAAGTTGTCAAAAAAAGGCCCCAAGCTGCCCACCACACCCCCTGCTCTGTGGAGTCCTTTGTGGGGTTCCCTGGGTAGGGCAATAAAAGAGATTTGACTCTAGATGGTGCCCTGTCATTTTCTTCCTCTCTGTGATCCCTTAGCTCCTTCTGTGTGTATCTCCTTTGTGGTATGTACCTCTGCCCCCTGGCAAGGGGGGATGGGTGCCAGGACCTTGGTTGTGCTACACCGAGTAGTAGCTGGGCACCTGGAGACGTCAGCATCCCTCAGGTGCATCCCTGGGCCCAGGCTCTGGGAATTTCCCACTACTCATATTCTACAGCCTTCTCCTGAGGCAAGTGAGTCTTGAAAACCCTCCCATGTCCCCTGTTGGGAAGAGGAGGGCAGCAGGATTGGGGATTGAGCTGAGCAGGCCCATGCTTTCACTGGGTGGACCAGAATGCTGGTCATGTGATCTCATCCAGGGGTACACAGTTTGGAATAAGCCAAGCCCCTGGCCCCTGCTATATCCATCTGCCCCACATTGCCAAGTTCATCACGCTGAACCCCAGTGATTGTGTCACTGCCCTGGCCCACATATCACCACATCACTGTGGCCCTCGAGTGGTCTCTCAGCACCTCCAGCCTTATCACACACGCCCCACCCCACCCCCGGGCACTGGCTCAGTACCAAGACAGGCAGCACCTGGTCTCCAGCACCTGCCAGCTGCTTTGGTCCTTGGCTTCAGTCTGTTGAAATCATGACCTTCCCAAGGCCCAGCTCACAGGCCACCTCGGTGAAGTCTTTCCAACCCTGCCCTCATGCCATATGTCACTTGTCTTGTCTCTCACTCTCTGGAGGGCCCTTTGTGCTCATCCTGAGGCTATCCTCACTGTCTTGAGGACAGACTAGCTCCTCCCAACACTGCAGTGCTATGGTTTTCAAGCTGGAGTTTCTCCAGGGCAAGACAGTGTCCCCTCCCTGCTTCCAAACCACCTCATTTTAAAATCTATTATATATTGGGGTCCATCTGAGAACTGGTTAAGGGAAGGAAAAGCGTTTCATTACCAAGAGCAACTGATAGGGTGGATAGAAAAAAGTTCTAAGGTCTGTCCCAGCCCAGCAGAAATTAAAATTAACCTTTGGAAGACAGGACGGACATAAGCAGGTGCCATAAATTCCATCAACAGTTACTGAGTGCTTACCGTGGCTGGACCTGGTACAAAAGTATTTGTCTTCAACAGAGTCCTGTGAGATAGGTGTGATCATTACCCCCATCTTACAGGTGAAGAAATAAACGGGAAGTAATTGGCTTGCAGAGGTAGGAACAGGAGAACTATGATTGAAACCCAGCAGCCTGGCCCCAGAGCCAGCAGCCTCACTGGAGCACAAGTGAAAGTGGGGAGAGGCTGTTTCCCTAAAGCAGTGGGGTGCTGGGGACAATCAGGAACCACCCCTTACAACAGTGCTACGAGATAGTGGCTGCTGTTCCTGTTTAGAGAGGAAGAGAGGCCCACAGAGTTTGTCACTAGTCCAAGGCCCCAGGAGGACCACACAGCAGAGCCAGCATCATAACCCACATCTGCTGGCCTCCAGGCCCCTGGCTCAGGAAGGAGTTGCCTAGACCTACCGTGGTGCAGAGAATCACAGGAGGACTTAGCAGGTGCTTGAAGGGGGTGGAGGGCGCACAAGGAGAGCATCCCAGCAGCTGAGGAAGGGAGGGAGGGGAGGTACAAATGGGCCAGGGGTGTGGAAGGGACCGGAAGTAGAGTCTGTAGCTGAGGCTCTGGGGACACAGGAGATGAACGATGAGCAGAACCAGGGCATCTGGAGGGTCGGGTTGAGGGCGGACTGTCCAGAGAGGTAGTGAGTCTCCTGCCAGTGATAGTATGTAAGGGAGGCTGGACTGGTGTGAGCAGATTTGGAGGTGGGCCAGAGGGTCACCCTGGTTGGTTGTCTACTGGCATCTGCCAAAGCCAAGGAATGACAGACATGGTGTGTTTGACAAGGTCCTCTGGCAGCCCTCTGTAGGGATTGAGTGTGGGGCCTGAGACCAGGAAGGAGGTGGAGATGGGACAGATGGGAAGCATTTGGTGGCTGGCAGGAAGAAGGAAGAGGATGGGGGCTGTGGACAGAAGTGGGAACTTGGAAAATAAGAGAAGGTTTCAGGTGGGAGGGGCCAGATCAACTCAACTGGAGATAACAGCAGAAAAGACCAGTGGAAAGATCAGAGTGGGGAAGGTCACAGCTGGGGAAGGACAAGAGAACAGAGAGAAGGGAAATTCAGAAAGCTGAAGAGTAAACCACAAAGGCATGCCTTCCGGGAGTGAGGGCTCCTGGGAGATGAGAGGAGATGGAGAGAGGACAGCCTGGCAGAAGCCAACCCAGGAAGGTGAAGGGCTGAGGATGCTGGTGGCCACTGTCCTATTCCAGGAGGCTTCACAGAGGAGGCAGCTGTGGGCATCACCGCTCCCACAGTCGGCACTCAGTGCATGCAGTGTATGTAAACACATGTGTATATTAAGAACGTGTAAGGAACTCATTGAATTATAGTGAAAACCCTTGAAGGAGGGGTAGATTATTGCCCCCATTTTACTAGATGAGGAAAAAGAGGCCAGTAGAAAAGATTGACTTGCAGAAAATATATGGAGAAGGCTGGACCTTGGGCCAGGGCTGGAGGAGAGACCCTCAAACACCCAACAGTGATGGCATTGTTCAAGAGGAGCCTGTTCCAGTGAGGAGCACGGAGCAGTGTGGTTCTCTTTAGAGTCCACTCCTTGCCCCTGCTCCTTTCCCAGGGATCTGTGAGGTACCCTCTCATCTTTAATCTGTGCCCCAGATGTCAGACACTGGGGCAGGACAAGGCAGGCAGCATAGGATGAAGTAGACTTTGGGGATCAGGTAGTTTGGGCGTGACCAGAATGAAGACAGCACCCCAGCTCATGGTCCTGAAGCAAACCTTTTCTCAGGGTGGGCAGAATCTGGGAGCAGAATGGGGTGCTCAAGAGGACTCTCTACGGACAGAGGAAGAGTGTGTGAGAGCTCTAGCCATGGCACCAGGAGAGTGAAGGCGAAAAGGCACAGGGTGGCAGAGGAGCAGAGAGAGCTGCTTACTGCTGCCAGTGCTTGCAGGGCCAGGTGTGTGGACATGAAGGAGCTGTGGTTGTTGAAATGGCTGTGGGCACTGGACTATGTTGGAGATGGGACACTTGCCACCTGCTGTATGTCAGCTTGTGCCAGCACTTTCGCTTTCCTGATAATAGGCTATTCCACACTCTGTTGCCCCCAATTTGCATAGGAAAAAATTGCAGCTCAGAGAGGTTAAGAAACCTGCTGCAGATCACACAGTGGCAGAGCATGGACTTTACTCAGCGTGGTCTGACTGCAAAGTCTCCAATCCTTCCACTACCCTGGCTCTTAGAAAGTTTTTAAATTTGCTGTCAAAGCAAGTGCGTATCAGCAACTGAGCAGGCAGGAGAAGGCTGCTACCCATTCTACAGATAGCACAGTCAAGGCTCTGAGGATTGGGGCTCCAGACTGTGTCCACAGTCAAGCTGGGGCCAAACCCCTGCCCACTGAGTCCTCCCTGTTGTTCTCTGAAAGCTGGGGGTGGTGCATGCCCCAGCAAGCTGTGTGAATCCAGGCCCGGTTTTGCATCAGGCCCTGCTGTGAAGGTGTTTCCTCCTCCCCCTTGGGGCAGCTGCTCTGCTGGGCCAGCCTGTTGAGTCAGCCTTAGTCCCTCACGGCTTTTCTCCCAGTCCCTGAAAGCTGGCTGCCAGGGGAGCTGGGGTCACCCTACGAAGGTGTCCCCCCATACTGGACCCCTACAGGTAACACACCTCAGGGCTGGGGTCCCCTGCCAGCGTCCCAAGGGGCAGGAACTGCTGTCTGGTGTCCTGAGCGCCCTCTGGAACCTTGGGTGGGGGAGGTGGGACTGTCTGGGACTAGAACAGCCAGACAGACCCTTATATCGACCAGACCAGCTGTAGGGTTGAACCACAGTAGAGGGCCAGATACTTGATTCTGCCCCTGGAGGGAGAGGGAACTATGGGGAAGGGCTGCTGCTGGGGCCCCTGACCTCAGATGCCCACGGCCTAGCCCAGGCAGCCCCCAGAAGAACAAGAACGCCCTCTCCCCCATCGCCTCCATGCTCATACACACACCCACACACCTGATGGCCTCAGTGGACGCAGGAGAAGCAGGGAACCCACCACACACACAGCGCAGTCTCACACAGCACTGGGAGAAGTACACACATGCCGCACACACCCACAGGGTGGCCATTACCCAGAGTGTCACAGACACAGCACACAGATAACATGGTCACCTATACAGCGCCACACTGACATGACACACGGACACACCTATTGATGCAATATTCACATACACAAAATATATAGGCTCAGAGAGCCCACAGTACACAAACATGCCTACAATACCCAGATTCACATGAGACTCAATACCCATACAACATGAGACAGATATTAACAGGGGCTCACACACTAGACCACAGAGGGAGCCCCAAATTCTGTATTCGTAGCACCAGCACTGTGCCTTGAACATAATAGCTGTTCAGCAAACACTGTGACTGTTGAATGCAGGCCCAGACACACAGTAGAGACATGCAGGGGCCCCGGGCGCCTCAATGAGGGTGGGGCAGCTGCTGAGGGCTCAGGGGGACACTGACTCAGCCTGGGAGGGTACAGAGCGCAGAGGCGGTGGCATGCAGCGTGCACAAGCTGGGACCTGCCTGCTGAGCAGCTCTCCTCATCTCAGCCCTGCCTGGCACAGGAGGGCATGAGAGGGGTGGGGAGCGGAAGAGAGACCGCCCTGTGGGCTCAGACTATGGCTGTGCTCTGCTCATGGCCAAGCCATGGGCCCCTTGCCACGTCCACACGCCCCTCGGGGCCGGCTGGGCAGATGTTTTCCTTCCGGAGTCACCATGGTACCTGAGCTGCTTTGCCAGCTCTGGGCCTCCACTGCCGGGACCCCAGCCAAGTCTTGGCCCAGGGTTGGGGGGACACTTTCACCAAGAGCAGAGGGGCCCAGGGGCTTAGGGCTGGAGCACAGGGTAAGCAGTAGGGGAACCCCTGAGGTGGAGGCCTCAGTGGGAGTGGGTGCGGCAGTTACCTCAGGGGGGAGGGGGGGTGGGGGGGGGGGGGGACCTCAGGGGGGAGGGGGGGCGGAAGTAAGGGGTGTGGGCTGTGGAGGAGGTTGCCTCAGACAGGAAGGCCACATAGGACAGGGCAGGGTGGAGGTGAAGGGTGGAGGGAGCGGACCCAGGTTGGGAGGTTCCCAGGGCAGAGGGGAGAGCAGAGCGTGCAAGTGTGTCTATGTGGTATTGCTGTGTGTGCATTCCCCATGTGTGTGCAGGATTCTCTAGGCAGATTTCTACATTTAATTAATTAAACTTTTCCCAACCACCTACTATATGCAAAGTACCGACTTCGAGAGTGATGCTCCATCCCTACCTTCAAGGAGCTCACAGTCCAGTTGGTGGAGGGTGTGTGTGTGTGTACATTGTGTGTATGTCATAGTCTGTGTGGTTTGGGTACATCTAGGGACATATATTTGTCCTGGGACTTGTATATGGGAACGTATCTTTTTGTGTGCACATGCTGTGTAGTGTTAAGTGTATGTGTGTGCACATCTCTTAATTTGAACATGTGCCTGTACTGTGTCTGCATAGCTCTCTCCATGGGGAATGGACTCGTGTGTGTGGATCCATTCCACAGCTGATATCTGTGCCTACATGTATCAGTATGTGCATGGCTGTGTGCTCCCTCTTTGAGGTCTCTGTGTCCTCACCTCAGGTATATGCATGTGTGTCTCTGTGTGTTCATGGGCCAGTGGATGTACATGGCTATGGGTGCTTCTCCCTCTACCTGACTGACCTCAGCCTTCCTGAGGTGGTGCCTTACCCACCACCTGGGCTCAGGATTGACCTGACTCCTGGTCTACCTCAGGGAGCCACGTGTCCCCAGTGGGGGCACGGCCCCCAGCTGATGCCCCAGAGGGGCTACCCATCTCAAGAGGGGCTCTGGGCCCTGCCTTCGCTGCCCATGGCCCACGTGCTGGAGCCTGAGGTCGACAGGCTGCTGGACCTCAGCTTCCTGACAGACGAGGAGCAGGAGGCCATCGCCGATGTCCTGAAGCGAGATGCCCACCTGCGCCAGATGGAGGAGGGCCGGGTCAGGTGAGGAAGGGCCGATCCTAGCCAGCGGCACTGAGGCGGAAGGAGCTTCCGGCACTGGGAAGCTTGGGCAGCCCCATCCTGCCCACTACCAACATGCCTGTCAGATGGCACAGGAGTCCTTGCCATGGCCCGTTGCCCCCTCTCCCTTGGTCTGCTCAGAGCTCATTATGTCCCCCCGTGACTGCAGTAGCTCCTTCGCCTGCCTGCCTGCCGCCAGGATGCACCCCCCCCCACACCCCAGTCCACTCTGCGGCTGAAGCTTTTCATATCTGCCTTGACATCCTCCGCTGAAACCTCCTCAGCACCTCTGGTGTCAAGGGCCTTCCCTGATTGATCCTCGTCAGCCTCCCCCACCTCATCTTTCACCAGTAACCTCCACTCCCAATATGCATATACCTGTGTGTATACAAACTATTACACAATAGCCAATCTGTGCTCCACATCCCTGAACACACTCTTCACTTTCAAGCCTCTGTTGTTCCTCCCAAACAAGCGCCATGGCAGAGGAGCATGCGAATTACAAGTAGGGTTTAAGAACTTCATCTGACTTCTCCAAACACAAACTCTTTATCTGTAAAATATGACAAAGGAGTCCAACCCCAGAATTGAGAGGGATCATGCAAGTACTCACTTAATGAACAATAATTATTATCGTTCTCTGCCTGGAGAACTCCAGTTTGTCCTTCAAGAAGAAATTCAAGTACTGTCTCTTCTGAGAAGCCTTCTTGGATTCCCACAGGCAGATCTGGTCCCTCTCACATCCACACAGCACCTGACACACCATAGTGTACTTGTCAATTCTGCAGTCAGTCTCCCCACATGCCTGAGTGCCTCCAAAGCAGGGCTCAGGTCTAATTGGTATTGTGTCCCTGGTCCCTAACACAGGGCCTGGCACAGAGTGGGTGGCAGAAATCTTGGTGAATGAATGGTGCCAACCTCACCCTGCCTCTCACCCCACCCCGCTCCCCCAGCAAGCTCCGGGCCTCATTGGCAGATCCTGGGCAGTTGAAGATCCTGACAGGTGACTGGTTCCAGGAAGCACGGTCCCAACGGCACCACCATGCCCACTTTGGCTCTGACCTCGTCCGTGCCTCCATCCGCTGGAAGAAGAGCTCCAGGGGTGAGAGTTGACCCCCAGGGCAGGGAAGAGCTGGGCAGGCCTTGTGGTGCATGCGTGTAGACAAGGAGGAAGAACCCCTGGGTCCTGCTCCTGGATCCCCCTGGTACTGTGTGTCTTTGGATGGGCATTGCCCCTCCATGGACTGTAGGAGGTGGGTGGTCACCTCCAAGGACCTCTCCCATGAGTCCTAGCCAGGCTGTCTGAGAACGGAGCTTCACCAACCTCTCACTTTGGCCCAGGTGACCAGGCTCTGGGCAGCGATGGGGAAGCTGAGATTTCTGAGAAAGAGAAGGGAGAGGAGCTGGAGCCCAGGTGAGGAGGCATTGTGAAGAACGAGTGCAAAGTGCCTACCGGTCACCTGGGTTCCTTCCCCTGACGACCACTTCCTCCCACTTCTAGGCTCCCTGTAGATGAGGTCCCCCAAGAGAGGCTCAACGAGACTGAAGTGAGTAATGAATGACTGAATGCGTTAATGAATGAACAGTGCCCTTGGGATGGAGCTGAGATAGCTCCAGCCTAAAAATCAGGAGAGCTTGGACACACTCCTTCAGGGTTCTGGGTCTCAGCATCCCCCTTTTGGTCAAATGGTGATATGGACCTGGCCTCTAAGGAAACCTTTGAATTTGACTATTGGGAGTGAGGTGAGGACAGAGCGAGTGAGGTCCAGGACTTTAATACTACTGCCCTCTCAGTGGGATGCTGGGTGTCAGGCAAGACCCTAAAGTGTGAAAGGGTATAAGTACAGGCCTAGATGGTTCCAGAGCTGGCTTCCAGGCCTGCCCTGAAAACAAAAACTCACTGCCATTGAGTGGTTTCTGACTCATAGCGACAGTTCGAGGCAGAGTAGAACTGCCCCACAGCCTTGGAAAGTTAAAGCTGAGTTAAAGCTAAAGATTGGGTAGCCTCTTGGAGCTTCTGACCCCTGACCTCATGATGACCCCTGACTTCTTCCTCACTAACCCCCACTTGTTAACCTCTATCCCTCAGTTCCTACAGGGGCCTGATTTCCCCTCACCATCTGCACCCCAAAAAGCTTCTGATTATGAGGTGGCGCCTCAGGCCCAGGAAGGTGAGTGTGTGTGTGGGTGTGTGGGGGGAGCACAGAGAGGTTGCCAGGATCAGAGACAGTTCTGTGTGACTCCAACCGCTTGTGTTCACCTTTCTCCTCCTGCGTTGGGGAAGCCCGGTGTAATCTCCATGGACGACCTCAGGGCACCACTGGGGCCTGAATCTGCAGGTCTTGAGGGTTGTGAATCAAAACATGTTAAGGGGCGGGCAGGTGTGGAGCCAGCTCAGCAGCCTGTACTCTGCCCCAGCCCCGCATCTAGGGGGCGCGCAGGTCCACGCAGAGGAGGCGGATCCCGAGCCGGAGAGGGCTTGTGGGCCAGAGGAGCCGCGGTACACGCCAGCCCAGGTAGGCTGGAGCGGCCCGGGGCTGCTCTCAAGATCCGGAGCGGATGTGCGTCCCGGGAGTGCCACCGCCCGGGGCTCAGGGCCGTCGGGCCCGAACGCGGTCCCGGGAGGGATCTCAAAGGCTGTCCGCCCCCAGTCACTTTCCCGCCTTCCTAGGCCAAGGCGTCATCCGAGACCTTGCAGAACGGGGAGGAGGTCCCGGGGCCTGGGCCCTCACTGGACCGCATGCTCAGCAGCAGCTCCTCGGTGTCCAGCCTCAACTCCTCCACGGTGAGGGGGTGAGGCAGCAGGCATACGGGAGGTGGGCACCTCTTCCCCACATTCCAACGCGTAGCCTTCCCTCGCCCCCCCCCCCGACCTGACGCTCCTCGCGGTGCCCTTTGCCTTTTCACCTCGCTCTAACCTCCATCTCCCTGATCGGAGTCCTCGGCGCTCCCCTCAGCCCAGACGTGAGCCCCGTCGTCGCCACTCTTGACCCCCTACCCCCTGCCCCCAGCTGAGCGGCAGCCAGATGAGCCTGACCGGGGAGGCAGAGGCGGGAGCCGTGCAGGTGCGCGGCTCCATGCACTTCTCGCTGCGCTACGAGCCGGGCGCCGCCGAGCTGCGCGTGCACGTGATCCAGTGCCAGGGCCTGGCTGCAGCCCGGCGCCGCCGCTCCGACCCGTGAGTCCCCGCCCCGGGGACTGGGGACGCGGGCGCCGCCCTAGGGGGACGCTTCGGGACTCGAGGTGGCTGCGTTCACAGCCAATCCCACCACTTAAACCTTTCCTGGCCTCGGTTTTCTCATCTTCAAAATGGGAATAATAACGGTACTAAGGTCGTTGGGAGGCGTGGGGATGAAGTGAGAGAACTCACGTAAAGCGCCTGTTGCTTGGTCTGGCACATAGGAAACTGTGTCCCTGTGGTGGCTGGGGAAGTCCCCGGGGCAGGGAAGCAGGAGCTGGAAGAGCTCCTTCTTAACTCCGGACCTCACGTCCCCCGCCCCAGCTACGTCAAAAGCTACCTCCTCCCGGATAAGCAGAGCAAGCGCAAAACGGCGGTGAAGAAACGGAATCTCAATCCAGTCTTCAACGAGACTCTCCGGGTGAGGCTGCGGCGACGGGGCGGTCCCCCGTTAATGAACACGATGGCCCTTCCTGCGCGGGACAGGGTGGCAGAGATAGCCACATAACGTCATCTCTCCTTGCTCCCACGCTCCATTCTGCTCCAGGAATGGCAAGGAGGTCCTCCCTTAGCGCGTGCTCCAGTGTATCAGTCTTGTGGTGGGCATGGTGATAGTCCAGACCCCCTTTAACGCCCTTCGGGATTCCCCAGGATTCCATTCTGCAAGAAGCGTAGCCAGACAAGCCAATCAATACTCCCGCAGCACGGACGCCGGGGCCGTCAGTGCTGCTCCATTAACTTGCACTTTCTGTCCCCAGTACTCCATCCCGCAGGCCGAGCTCCGGGGCCGCGTGCTGAGCCTGTCTGTGTGGCACCGCGAAAGCCTGGGTCGCAACATCTTTCTGGGCGAAGTCGAAGTGCCCCTGGACACGTGGGACTGGGATTCTGAGCCCACCTGGCTCCCCCTGCAGCCCCGGGTGAGGGGACCAGCGTAGATTTTACCCCACCAGCCCCTGTCAAACTCCGCCTTAGACAGAGCCTCCTCCTCTCCGCCTCGCAACACTGTGGCCCATCCCTAGGTCTGGCACCAGACCGCCCCTTCCTCGAGGTCTCTCAGATCCTTCCCCAACAGCAGACAACTTCTCTAGAGGTTCTTTGGAGGCCCCGCCCCTACTGGCTCTGCCCTCCCCGCTAACCACACCCCATTGGTGTCGCTGGAGGTGCCGCCCCTCTCTTATAGGCCTTGAGTGGCTTCCTGACGAGCCCACCCTCTGCAGGTCTCGCCCTCCCCAGACGAGCTTCCCAGCCGCGGTCTACTTTCTCTGTCCCTCAAGTACGTCCCTGCCGGCTCCGAGGGTGAGTGACTGCCCCGCAATAAACCTAGCTGTACGGACCTGGGAGGTGGAGGACTTCTGTCCCGCTGTGTGTATGTGTGTGTGTGCGTGGGGGGGGAGGGTGTCCGTCAGTGGGGCGGGGCCTGAGCAGAGCTTCCCCGCAGGCGCAGGACTGCCCCCGAGCGGAGAGCTGCACTTCTGGGTGAAGGATGCCCAGGACCTCGTGCCACTTCGCTCAGGATCCCTGGATACTTACGTACAGTGGTGAGGACCTCACTGCTGCCTTTCCTGTCGCTTGCAGTGGAGCTCCCAGCCTCGAACTTAACCCCTTCTAATCAACCCCTAATTCCCTAGTCTGGGCTCTAACCGTCGAGCAGGGGTGCAGGGAACGGCTTGAGAAAGGCCTGCAGTCGGGATAAGTTTAGCACACCTCTGGAGAGCTGTGTTCCAAGGTGGTTGGCGCCTATACATCTTGTCAGAGAGCCGCGGTTGATACTAGAGGAGAGTTGCAGGGGCCCCTCCATACAGAACCTGGAAGACTGGGCTGTGGGGCTTGGCCCTGAACTTACAATTGAGTGGTTTTCAAAGTAAGCTCTCAAGAACTCTAGGGGTGCCTCCAGGTGCTGTCCTACTCTCGGGAAGTAAAATTGAGGTAGGCCGATCAGATTCTGCGTTCCTGTCCTTGATTCAACCAGTAGCATCTGCTTGTGAATAGTATTTTATTTTGCAGAGGAGGATCTAAGGCTTCAAAAAGCTCAGAAACTACTTCTGGGGGGCAACAGGGAGCCGGTGAAGGTCACTGAGCCAGGAAGTAGCAGATTCACATTTCAAAAACATTGCTCTGGTGTCCTGTGAATGGAGACTAAAGGCAAGACACTCAAAAGGCATCTGGTGCAAAGGTCCCAGGACAGTGGTGGTTCAAGACCAGATCTCAGGCAGGAGCCAGGGGACATGGACATATGTGAGGGAGAATGGGTAGGATTCAATGACTGGGTGGCTCTGGAGAGAGTGAGGGGGTGGCCACCTGATGCCAGTTTCCCTCCCCAACAGCTCAGTGCTGCCTGATGACAGCCGGGCCAGCCGCCAGCGGACAAGGGTGGTGCGCCGCAGCCTCAGCCCCGTGTTCAACCACACCATGGTTTATGATGGCTTTGGGCCCGCTGACCTGCGCCAGGCCTGTGCTGAGCTCTCCCTCTGGGATCATGGGGCCCTGGCCAGCCGCCAACTGGGGGGCACACGCCTGAGCCTGGGCACCGGTGAGTGGGGCAGGGCCCTAGGGGAAGCCTTGGGTACTTTTCTGCCCTTTGTCCACTTTGGAGCTTTGATGTCCACTGGAAGCTGGGAGTGACTGGCCACAACACATAATCTGAGACCAGGCAGGTGTTTCTTGTGACTTGGGGTATGTAATGGGATGTGCTGTCCACTCTGGCCCACCCCCTCCAGGCAGCAGTTACGGGCTCCAGGTGCCCTGGATGGATTCTACTCCTGAAGAGAAGCAGCTGTGGCAGACACTTCTGGAGCGGCCATGTGAGTGGGTAGATGGCCTTCTGCCCCTCAGGACAAACCTGGCTCCCAGGGCATAGCTACCCCAAGAGTCTCACCCGTCTCTGGACCCCCATCCCATCTCAGGGCTTGCCCTTGACTAAACTCAATAAAATCTGTTCTAAGGGCATCAAGGGGCTGATGTCTTCTGGGGGGTGGGTGGCAGCAGGAAAGAGCCAAGGAAGTGAAGGGGGCTTGGGACAGATGAAGGAACTCCAGACTTAACATAAACACCTCAAGGGACTAGTCCCAGCATATATAGTCCCACATACATATATGTCAGATGTCCCGAAGACAAGGATACAAAAACATTTTGTTTAATAGTGTTTGCCTGGCAGTGCTCTGTGATTGGTTCCCTCCATTGGAGGCTGGGCCTGGGGTCCACTAAGCCTCCTCCACTTGCCCCTGGGTCCTGGGATAGGTATGTCAGAAGCTGCTTGTGTCTTCTTCCTTCATTCATCCTTATGTCTGGCCTCCTGACTCTGATGCCTTTATTCAGTCTCCTGGAGGCCGGGGATGCCTGGCCTGGCTCCTGCTCGATGCTCCAAGATGGATCTCCAGATACGGCACACCATCCCTCCCCTGGGGGTAGTAAGCTCATTATGGCTGTGCCAGAACAAGGCCCTGGGCTCTCTCTGATACCCAATGTCTGCCTGATGCCCTCTCTGCCCTAGGAGACCCTATGGTTCCCAGGGAGGAACCTGGGCAGGCCTGCAGCTAGGTGTCAGGATGTGGCCAGCATGAGGGCATATGCCTGAGTCAGCCCTGGAAGGCCCAGGACATACCTGATGCCAGTGTAGATGAGGTCATCTCTAGTGGCACAGGTGAGCAGGGCGTGGAGGGTGAAGCTGTGGTTCAGCAACTGGTTATGGACAAAAACCCAAACAGACAAGGAGAAATAAAACCAGAGAAAGAGGTCTTCAGATGTTAGGGCCAATCACACCCTTTTCTGGGCCTCAGTTTTCTTATCCATATGATGATAAGGTTATATTAAGTATTGAGGTTCTCTGCTTAAGAGGAAGAAAGAAGAAAGATGGACAGAGATAGGGGTCCTTGGTTGGTGGGGTTGTCAGTGATAGCCAGCACCCTCCCCCTCACCGTCTGGATGGTGCCAGAATCCACAGTCAGTTTCTGCAGCCACTGCACCAGGCCCTGGTCCACTGGGAAAGCAGCTGTCAAGGACAAGTCAGGTGATGAGCCTCGGGCTCACCTGCCAGAAGCTGCCTCACACCCCCCATTCATGTTCTCCAACAGGCTCTACTCACCTGGGGGCTCAGGGGCCAGGGCCTGGGTCCTAGCATCCCCATCCACCTGCTGTAGAACCCATTGCATCAGGGCCTGGCACTCTCGTTCCTTTTCAGCGAGGACAGTTCGAAGCCTGTTGGAGGGCAGAAGAAGACTAGAATGCAGTGGAGGTGAAACCAGTATAGAGGCTAAGGGTGATCCAAGGCACTTTACCTATTAGTCTCTGCTTGCAAGAAGCCCAGCTGCACCATCAGAGGTGGAAGTCCATGCTCAGGCTCCTTCAGAAGTGGGCTCTGCTGAACAAGTGTCCCCTGTTGCTCCTCCTGGTACCCCTTTTCTTTACTCGGTTCCTTTGATAGCGGGGAGACTGCCTCCTTCTCCACCTCTGCCATTCCGAGTGGGTTAAGCTCAGTCAGGGCAAGAACACCCATTTGAGGCCCCCAGACCCTGGCAAAGGACTGCTAATGGAGGACAGCTCTGCACAGTGCGATCTGCAAGAAGCCCTTTGGCCACTCCCCCACCGGCTTCTGACCCTCTGGCCACGCCCCTGCTATGGCTGGGCACCCCTTACCGACCACACCCCCTACAGGCCACGCCCCCTACTGGCCCCATTCCGCGTTTGCCACGCCCCCTAAGGTCCCAGCCTCGGTCTGCTGGTAGGCGCCGCTCCCCTCCTACCCGGACCTAGCACAGCCAGGGCTGCTCGCACAGCGCGACTAAGCAGTGAGTCCAACACGAACATCCAGTGTGGGCGGATCTGGCGCCTGCGGAGGATCTGCTTCACCTGGAGAAAGTGGAAGGGCGCAGCTGAGCAGGCTAGGCCTCAAATAGGGGTGGGGCTTGAGTTGGAAAGGCCTAGGAGGTCTCCAGTCTGAAGGAAAGGGGGTGGGTGGACTCAGGGTTAAAGAAGGGGCTGGGTAGCTAGGAGTGGAGTAAGGTGTTCCTTTCCATCTTCACGGAGAAGACATGAGGTGTTGGAACCCAAGTCCTTTCACATTCCCAGGCACAAGGAGCTCTAATTGGACGGCCCTAACTGTATGAAAAACTGTCAGTGAAAAAGAGGAAGACTCTACAGATGGATGGACACAGTGGCTGCAACATGGGCTCAAACAGCAACGATTGTGAGGATAGCACAGGACTGGGCAATGTTTTGTTTGTTGTACATAGGGTTGCCATGATTTGGAAAGATTCGATGGTACCTAACAACAACTTAACAAACTGTGTGAAAGCTCTCCTCACCGCATCCGGGAAGGCAAAGAGTGGTCCATGAAGAAGTTCAGGCCCAAGGCCCTGGTTCCTCAACTGTCCTTGCAGCGCCCGCAGGTCCTGGGCCAGCTGCCGGCGGTTGGGAGTGTGGATATGCGCCCGGAGGCAGCGCAGTAGCTGTTCTACCTGGTTTCTGCCAAGCCGAGGACCCTGAGCACGAAAGAGGAGTCTTCAGCGAGTGTCCTCACCCGAAAGCCGAGAGAGACACCGGCATCAGCGGGAGTCCTGCCCCTGCTCGACCACCAGGGGGCGCCGGGGCGGGCCACCGCACCTGTTCCTGCTCCAGGCTCAGCCCGTCTGCCAGCGCAGACAGCTCCTGTTCCAGCACCGTGGCCAGCATGGCCCGGCGCTTGCTCTCTTGGTGCAGCAGGCTCAGCCCCGAACTCTCCTCGGGGGATGCGGGTTCCTCGGCCCCGGGATCGTCAGGCACTCTGGGGGCATTGGAGAGTGGATGATGGAGGGCAGGGCAGCGATACCGTTCCACTAGGTCCACCACCGGGTTTGAATACTGACTTTTACTTTAATGCTTGTCTTACAGGGATAAAAGAAGTAAAGCAGGCACTAAAGATGGACAATAAATATAAGTAAAAGCATCTGAGAGAGGGCATCAGTAGGCACCAAATGCCATCCATGCAAGTGATCAAAGCACCCAGGCTTTTTTTTTTTTTTTTCCTGGAGGGAGTACAAAGACAAAACTAAGCTAAGGGAACCCACCCAGGATCCCAGGCTCTCACCGGAGCTGGCTGGTGCCCCCGTAACTGAGGCAACGCTTTGGGAGGCTGGGCAGGTGCTGAGACGGTGCCTGAGGGCATGGGAATGTCTGGGACTTGGTGGTGGAGTCAGCTGAGGGAGTGGAGCTGGCTGAAGGGACATCTGAGGGAGGACAAGGTGGTCAGCCTAGGCCACCGCCACCCCAGCCCTGTCGCCTCCACAGCTCCCCTCCCTTCATTCCAGTGTGCTCACTCCCTCCACCCTCTTAGCACCTGAGGGCCGTGGAGCATGGTGGGTAGAGCCAGGGCTGCGGCTTCTCTTCCTAGGCTGCAGGAAAGGGTCCCCCAGTAGAGCCTGGGCACTGGCTCGGAGGCGGGGGTCTGGTTCAAAAGTTTGGAGGAGGAAATCTTGGGCCTCAGCTGACAAAGAACTGGGCATTGGTGGATGCACCTTATACATGCCCACCTGAGGGAGTCAGGAAGGGCAAACAAGGTAAAGTTTAGAGATGTTCAGGGCCTAGTCTACACCCCCCTACCTTTGTGTGCTAGGTCTTACCTGAAACATGGCAGCCTGTGGGCTCCCTAGCTCATGGAAGGGTGGGTGACCTGTGGCCATCTCAATCACAGTGCAGCCCAATGACCAGATGTCAGCCGCCTTCCCATACCCTCGTGGGCCTTGGTCAATGATCTCTGGGGCCATATACTGCAGCGTTCCTAGGACAGAACCAGGAGCAGAAATGCTCATTTAAGCTTCACTACTGCAGGGGCTTCAGGATACCCACCCTGAACTCCATGATCTAAAATAGATTCTATCATCTACCCTGATCATCAAACATCTGGCCTGAGTTTCATTACCCATCCTAGGCTCCATCACTTCCCAAGGCTTCCATTACTCATACTAGGTTCCATCACATTCATAGACTCTGTCACCCACAGCAGGGTCCCATCAAACACTTTGAGCTCTATCACCCATTTTGGCCTCCAACACCCATGTTGGCCGGCATCAATACCCCTGGGCTCCATTTCAGGCACTGAACTCAACATCATCACCTATCCAAGCTCCAAGTCTAGATTCCATCACCCCACTCCTGATGCAATCATCTGCCCTACCTCCCATTAGGACTCTAACTCCATTCCCAGGAGAGACCCTATTTCCTGGAAGACTCTAAGAGTTCTTCTGCCCTAGCCAGCATCCCCACTCACCACTCCTGCACCTTGTTACCTGTGAAGGTCTCAGTACAGGGTGTGATGCCCGCCAGCCGCTTGGAGGTGCCAAAGTCAGAAATCTTGAGCAGCCCACTGAAGGTGTTGATCAGCACATTGTCTCCCTGGGCAGAGTGGACATTGTGCCCAGTGGACATTGGGCCCCTGACATCAGAACTGGACCCCACTCTAGGGCACTATTTCCTGGGGAGCCCAGCCTCCCCTGCCATCCCACCTACATGCCCCTCTGGGAGCTGATACCTGGTCTGACTTCATTTATGAGCTTCTAGTCTTCTGCTCTAAGTAACCTCCCTGTTGAATTCCTCACCCTTTGCAAAGAGTCTGCCTGGTTAGTCTAAACTGCCAGCCACAGTCTAGAGCCACATCTCTCCCCATCCCAACCCCACCCCCCACCACCAGCAGAAGGCCAGGGTGGGCCAGCCACAGGGTTTACCTTGATATCCCGGTGCACAATGTGGTTGTCATGCAGGTAGCTGAGTCCCTGCAGGATCTGGCGGGTATAGAAACTGATGGTGCTCTCGTTGTCCTTCAGGGGTCCCCACACTGACCGCAGCAAGGAGGACAGGCTGCCTGGTCAGATACAGTCCAAGTTCATCCTCGGCACCCACTTGTCCCAGCCCAAACTTCTGCTCATGGCCCAGGCACACCCATTGGTCCAGACTCCATTACCCAACCCCATTCTTTCAGTTAATTCTGGGCTGGGGTTCATTTCCTCCTAGGGTTCTCCACCTTTCCTCGCTCCACCCCTAGGCCCTGCACACACACAGAGTTTCATTCCCAGCCCACGCAGGGTAGCAGGGCAGGTACCTCCAGGCACTTCCTCCATGAAAATCTTGAGGTAGCCACCCTGGCTGGCTGAGCCCAGATAGCGTACGATGTTCTTGTGTCGCAGACGTTTGTGCAGACCGATTTCTTCATGCAGGGGCTGAGAGAACCTGGAGGAGGTACCAAAAAACCAAACCAAACTCACTGCAACCGAGTCGGATCCGACTCATAGTGATCCCTCCTTGGGTTTCCGAGGCAGTATCACTACGGAAGTAGATTGCCCAATCTTCCTTCCCAGGAATACCTGGTAGGTTTGAGCCCCCAGCCTTCTGGTTAGCAGTTAAATGCCCTAGGCACTATGCCACCAGAGCTTCTCCGGAGGAGGCAGAAGAGAGAAAAACGGGACAAGTTTGGGTAGAGATGCTCAACCCATTCCAGCACTAGCCAGGCCACGCCCCCGAGTACTCCCCGCCCGCTCACCTCTTGCCCACTCACATCACCCTGAGCACAGGCTCCTTTAGCCCATGGCCCCGCCTACTCGGCCAGTACTTTAGGCATCCGGGAGGCCTCAGCCTATAGCCCCGCCCACGGAACCCTCTAAACTCGTGGTCCCGCCCACAGGGCTCCTCGCGTGCCCTCAGCCCCGCCCGAGGGCCTAGTGTGCGCACCTGCTGTCTCGTTCCGGGATCTCCTTGATGGCGATGCGCACTCTCGTGTGTCGATCACGGCCCGCGTACACCACCCCATACGTGCCCTTGCCCAGAACCAGCCGCTCGCCGGTCTCTGAGTATTCGTAGTCAAACTGTGAGGGGCGGTGGGAGATGGGTGGTCAGCAGGGCCCTCCGCCTTTCCCCCTCTTCGAGCTCCCTGTCCCACTTCTTCACCTCCAGCACCTCCTTCACGCCCTCCTCCGCCTCTTCTGCGGGTGCCGTGGAATCCGGATTCGTGACCGAGGTCTGGATCAGGCCGCAGAACCTAGGGGTGGGGGAGGTCAGGCCGGCAGGAGGGGCCCTTTGTGCAGAAATCGTCCCCTCCCGTGCCGAGAGCACCTAGGGGAATTGTTTTTTCCTTTCCCGCACTCCCCGAGCAGCCCTGGCCCTCAGAGTACCCCTCCCGGAAAGGTGCGCACCACTGGCAGTGCCCTACGGTGGGGAAGCACAGCTGGACGTCCTGAGCCGGGGGAAGCGTGTAGAGGAAGCAGCAGCGCTCGTCCCGCTTGGAGGCGCTGGGAAGGGGTGAAGAACACCAATGAGCACCAGGCGGTAAGCAGCCAGTCCGCCTCCAGAGTGACGGCCCGCGGGCCCCACCTTTCACCTGACGCCGCAGATGGAGGCAGCCGGGAAGGTCCAGCTGGAGGGCATGTCCTGGAGGAAGAAAGGGAGTCTGAGCGGGTGCTGCAGGCAGCGAGAGGGGCCCAGGGACCGAAGAAAGACTCCACTGAAAGGTGTGCAGTAGGGAGTGAGGGGTTTCCGCAGGGACTTCACCTGGGTCTCTTGTTCCAGGAGGCTCAGAGTCACAGCGCTGACTGGGTCTGCGTCAGTGCCATGAACTTCAAGCCTTGCAGGTAACAACACCTTGTTCAGCTCCAGGACCAACACCTGCAGGTGGCGAGAGAGACGGTCAGAATGGGCCAACCCCCACCCCCACCCTGCTACTCCAATGGACCTCACCAAGCACTGGTTGCCTTGCGGAGAGGTGGCCTCAAATGGCTGGCAGGACTGCAGCAAGAAATGAAGCCAGAAGTGGGCACGGCGTGGGGCCCCTCCGAGGGGCTCTGGGGTGGGTCTGAAGTGCTGGTACAGTAGGAAGGTTTCCATGACCGACACCAGGTACCTGCAGGCACAGCCTTGTCCTCAGCTCACCCCAAGCACCAGCCAGCACTGCCAGGGAGAGCAGGCTGGCTTGTATGTAGTCCAGAATGTGGTAATTGGGTGCCCTAGGCACTAGCCTTGAAGGGACCAGGTCATTAGCTCAGGGCTCAAGCTAGAGTGCTAGTGACATGGGTACAGGACATGTTGACAGCCTAGGCCAGGCCAAGACCTACCATATGGGGGCATTGAGTTTGTACAGCTGTTCTGCAGCCAGCGCCACCTGGGAGGGGTCATTGGCAAGGATCTGGGCACCCAAGTAGAAGCCTACGTCCCAGTAATACTGCATCTTCTCCACGCAGCCTTTGCTGGCCAGCAGGCGGCCCAGCTTCATGCCTGGGGAAAAGGGGAACGGGCCCCAGTGAGTATATAGGTACAGATGTGGACAAGGACCATGTGGACAAGGGCCACACCATTCATGTGGGCATGAACATAAATATGCGTGAAAACTCAGAGGTGGGCAAGATCTCAGAAGGGAGTAAGAACTAAGGCACAGGTGAGGAGGCACAACTCTTTATGGAATTCAGGTGTAAAGAATACAGGTGTGAACTTGGGAACAGGTGTGGTCTCAAGGACATGTGAGAGCACAGGACAGGTGTGTGGACTCAGATGTGTGTACAAAAGGGGATAAGCTCAGTCCCAACCATGTTTTCCCTCCAGGCCCTTTTCCCAGGCCCCTCAGAGCTCCGGCTGGTAGGGTCACAGAGAAGCCGGGATGAGGACTTACCTATGAGCCAGAGCTCCTCAGAGTCCTCGAAGCACTGGCCGGCAGCAATGAGGAGCACAGCTGCGTTGATGCCCGAGTGGAGGCTGGGCTCCACCTCAAAGGCCTTTCGATACCTGGTGGGAGGAGTTGAGACAGGAAGGGACACAGGCTGGACTGATACCCGCAGGTCCATCCCTCCTCCCCCCAGTTTAGCCCACTGCCCACTTCCTTGTGCCCCTTACCAGTGATAGGCCTGCTCCCGGTGCCCAGCGTCCTGGAAGCCAGAGCTGAAGAACATGTCTTTGTAGACACGGCCGCACATGCAGTACAGGTCAGGTGCCACAGAGCCATGACACTGTACCAGTGGCAGCAGCACAGCCAGCGCCTTCTCACGGTCCCCAGGCCTATTCCTCCTGGGGGCAAGGGATGATGGGCTGGAGATCCACTCGATGGCCCTGCCCCACTCTGTCCAGGGACCACCAGACCCTGGACACCAGAGATCCTTTCAGGGCTTGATAATAATGCCCCTAAACTGGCAGTGACCTTGGTCAGCCCTGACCTCCTTAAAGGCAGTGACACCAGATGGCAGGGATTCCTTGCTGTAACAGCTCTGAATAGCAGTGACCTTGGACAGCTGTGATCATTCCAGGGGCAATAATCCCCACCCCCCAAGGGATTCAGTAACCCAGAACAACAAAGACCTTTTGACATCAGTGACCCAGGTCAGCAAATTCCCTGAATAGTAGTCATCTCAGGCAGCAATGATCTTGCACAGCGAAAACCCATGCCACAGAGATTCCCACATGGCCACGACCAAGCCTTGCTCTGCCACTCACCGGTTGAGGGCAAAGGTGTAGTGGAAGCAGACATTGTGCTGCTCAGCCACATCACAGGTGGGCAAGGCCTGCAGCGTCTCCACCAGCTCAATGATAGCTGTGTAGTCCTAAAGAAGGAGGCAGAAGCACTGGGATGATGGCCTCTGGGGGTTCCTTTGGCTCCGAGCTCTTAAGAAAAACCTTAATCTTGGGCCCTCTCCCCTCACTTTTCCACCCACGGCCCAGGAGCAGACATCACACATTACTTAGAGCACCCACTGTGTGCCCCAACCTCACAACTACCCTGGGGGCAGTGCCATGATCACCCCCTGTTACAAATAAGGACAGTGATGTTCAGAAAGGTTAGGTAATTTGCTCAAAGCTACCACTGAGCAAGTGGCACAGCCAGGAGCTGAACTGGGTTTGTCTGACATTAAATGCCTGTATAGCAGTGACCTTAGCTGTGACCACTGCCCCACTGCCCCTCTGTGCACCACACACCTGCACGTCACGGTAGGAGAGCAGCAGGTTCATGACAATGTCAGGGCTCAGCAGCTCCACACTGTCCAGTCTCCGCTGCAGGCGAGCCAGCTCCTGCCGGAGCTGCTGCCCACTGAATCGCTCCCGTGCCCGCCGGATGTCCTGCCGAATGGTCTCCCGGAAATAGCCACTAGTGCCCAGGGCAGAGGACGGAGAAGAGAGAATGGTTCAGCCAGCATCTCAGGCCCAGCCCACTGTACTCTCACCAGCCCCCTCCTGGTGCTCCTGCCCTGTGAGTCCCCCATTACCAGGAGTCTGTGGGTGTGGCCTCCAGCAGGCGGGCCAGCCGGCCCACCAGTGGTGTAAGCAGGGCCTCAGTGCCCACCCCAGCCTGCACCAGTCCATCAGCCAGGCCCCTCAGGACACCTGCATCACCACACAGCACCCGATTGGTGGCCGTCACCACATAAGGGATCAGTGTGTAGCTGCCAACACAATCCTGGGGGGGAGGAGGTCGGGGATCAGTGAAAGTCAGAAGTCAGTACCAGTGGGGACTGAAATGGCAGGGAAGGGGTACATACACATTATGAAGGGAGGTAACAGGGAATAGAGGATCACATGGGAAATCAGGGGCTAAAGGGAGGACAGAAAGGATGGTGGAGGTCATAGGTCATCACGGAGGTCAAAGGGCACATTGGAGGGAGGGGTTCTGCTCACCGAGTTCTTCTGGAAAACATCCTCCTGTAGGAGGCAGAGAGTCAGACATGGTGCTCTTGGTAGGCCCCGCCCAGCCCTATGACTACCTGTACCAGCCAGCCACCTGGCCACCTACCCTCAGGGCCTGCAGGTCAGGGAGTTCTGCCTGAGAGCAGAGGAGCACGTTGTTGGTCATGCTGAAGCTCTCTCGCACACCCAGGTGGTAGAAGAGGGAGGGCTGCGCCAGGGAGCTGCTCACCTCCAGCACCACCACGTCTGCAGGCACAGAGGTGGAGGCCCTGGAGCTTGGTGAGAAAAAGCCTGGGATCCATCCTGGGTCAGCCTGCCTTTCAGTGTGACTCCAGCAGGGTGCAAAGCCTCTCTGGGTCTCCATTTCCCCCTTTTAGGGCCCCTCTGGCTCTTACAGCACCTCAGGTGGCACAGTGCCTAAGTCATTTGACTGCTTACCAGAAGGCTGGCGGTTCAAACCCACCAGCCACACCTCGGAAGGAAGGTTGGGCAATCTATTTCCATAGAGATACTGCCTCAGAAACCCAAGGAAGGGTTGCTCTAAGTCGGATCCGACTCGATGGCAGTGAGTCTGGTCTCTGGTCTGGCTCTTACACAGAACTATATTTGTGGTGTTGCAGAAGAGATGTTGAGCTCACTGGGCCACTGTCCCCTTGAAGAAGTTAAACCCAGTGTGCCCTTCATCCCACTGTTCGGAGCCAGTGGGCACACACAGCAGGGGCAATTATGCCCAGCCCAGAGAGCCTGTTCCAAACCATTAGAGAAGCAGGAGTTGTGCACCCACAGAAATCGGTTCTTGAAAGGAGTCGGCACCAGCAGAGTGTGTAGACCTTGGTATGTCTGTGTCTGTGTGTATAACTGTGTCCGACCTTATCTCTGCGTGACAGTGTCTGTGTGTGAACAATGTGCGATTTGTTTGTCTGTCTATGATTGTGTGTGTGTCTTTGTGTCCTCGGTGTCGGCACAGCACTCATGTGTGGACAGTGACTTATGGGACATCTCAGCAAACACTATTCTCAGACTGACTCTTGGATGAACAAATAAGATGGGGTGCGGGGTGCCTGGGTTAGTGGGAGGGAGAAGAGAACAGCCCTCTGTCTCGCCCAACCGGCCCTGCCCATTCCCTTGGGGTTGCTGGGGCCTCATAAACTAAACTCCCACGCCCAGAACAGAGTATCTTTGAATTCCCTTGCTTCCCTTTCTGCCTCTCTAGCCCAATCCTCGGAAGTCGTATGCTAAACTAAACTGGTTGCTATCAGAGTTGATTTCGATTCACAGAGACCTTGCAGGACAGAGTAGAGCTGCCTCATAGGGTTTCCGTGGTTGTAAATCTTCACAAAAGCAGACTACCACATCTTTCTCCCGCGGAGGGGATGGTGGGTTCAAACGGTCCCCCTTTAGGTTGGCAACCGAGTGCTTTAACCACTGCATCACCAACTGTTGTCCTTACTGGTATGTCAGGATCCCTAAACTGCAGCCTCCAGCCTCGTCCCCTTTCCATCGTCCAGTATCCACTTCCAGCAACAGCCCCAAGAGCTCCGCGCAAGATCATCGGAGACCGATTTCTCCAGCTCCACTGGTGCGGGACCGCGGCCCCGCCCTGCCATGGCCCCGCCCACAGTTTCTAAGCCCCGCCTCAATCCCAGCCCCACTCCAGTCCGGACTCCAGGATGTTTAAGCCTCAACCCTGCATCCCCGAACGGGGCCTGGGTCCGCTAAGTCCCGCTCTGAGCTTCAGAACCCCTAAATTCTACTTTCCAAAAGGCCCTGACCCAAACTCCCCCAGTTTTAGCTCTCTCTAGCCTCGTGAACCTGCGGTCCTTTTGGCTCCTCTCTGGCGCCGCCTAGACCCGCCCTCTTTGCCCCGCCCCAGCGCCCTGAAACCCCGCCCCTGGACGGCCGGGTCCCTGCCGCGAGCTCACCCGCGTTGTAGAAGGAATCAAGGGCGTCAGTGTCGCCCAGCGCCAACGTCCCGAAGGGCAAGGTGCGCAGCTGCGGAGACGGCCGTGGCCCCTGGAGCTGTGTGCAGGCCTCGCGCAGGCAGCGCAGGGGAAGCGGCTCCGCCTCGGCTCCCCCTTCGGTCTCGGCCTCGGGCTGTGGCTCCCGTGTCAGCACGTAGACCACGCTGAGCGGCCGGCTCCGTGCGCAGCCTCGGCCGGGGGGCAACGCGGGCGGACGGCCCGGGCTCAGTGCCTCTGCCAGGGGGTCCTGCCAGCAGCTGCCGGCGCGCTCCAGGGTCCCGGACCACGAGCATGGCCCCGCCATGCGAGGGCGCTCAGGCACTGGGCTCCCTGCTCTGTGGCAACCCGGGCGGCGCAGGAGCCAGGGTCGGCGAATCCAGGGATTTCGGGATCGGAAATCTAGTCGGAATCAGGGACTTTCCTGCGGTATCTAGAGTCTGGCCGAAGATCTCGTTCCGAGGATGTAGAGTCCACAGCAGAATCCAGGCTTGGACTTGTAAGGTCTTGAGGGTCTGAAATTGGGGAGTGGGTTCCGGGAATCTGCGGTATCTGGTAATCTGTAAATCAGGGTCACAAAGGGAATCCCGGGCAGAGGTCCGGGCGCGTCAGACACCCGGACACCACATGGGCGCGCCTGCTGTAGCTTTCTCCTGCCCTCACAAGTAGGCCGGGCCCAGCCCCTTCCCGGCCGGCCGACCGGGAAAGCTCCACCCTCAGCCCTCGAGCAGTGCCGCTCCCTTGCGACTCGGGCTCTTCCCTTCCTCTTCTCCCGCCAGAACCTCTCAGACTGGCCGCTTCCGGAACAGCCTGTACCCCTGTGCACGCCAACCACTGTGGACTCATCACAGCAAGCGCTCATAGGATGAGCTCAGACCAGCGCTCGGGAAGAGGTGCATCAGGTCCTGCATGCAGGAGGGATCTGTTGAATGAATGAATCCACGGAGACACCAGTGTGTGCAGAACAGTGAACAGTGGGTGTCCTCCAGGACCAGGTGTGCAGACAGACTGGAAAGGGAGAAGCCTGCTCCGTGGGCTGCCAGCAGACCCTCAGCCCTGGTGTGGAATTTGGCATCTGAGCCACCACTTTTGCCCTCTTGCCAGGGGGGCTCCTTTCCCCAGAAACCAACCTACTGTGGAGACCTGCTGACCTCTTACTTCCACCCAGAACCCATGATGGGACTTGAGAAGCCATTCCTCACTGTAAAAATGGTGTGGTGTGAGGATGTCTGACCTCCTCTAACTTTACAAGGTGGAAGGAGAATCAAGATCAACAACCCGAGGCTGATTCCTATGAGGTGGAGCTGAACCATATGTCCTCCTCTCTTCCACCTTTTTTTTTTTAATTCTAACACCAAAGTCCTTCCCACAGCACTCTCTACTTCATGACTGTTGTTGTTGTGTTGTTAAGTGCTGTCAGGTCGTTTCCGACTCATAGCGACCCCATGCACAGCAGAACGAAACCCACTTCATGACTAGGTTCGATAATTCATTGCAATGGTCACCAGTTCTTAAAGACAATACTCATGATCATGGGGTTTATTAAGGTAATAACAGTTAACAATTCAGGATCAGGAATGACTCAGGATACAGTTCTTCAATCAGGACAGCTGCTTCTCAGCCACGCCCACAGGAATGCCTCTCTCTGGTCCTCATCCTCTCTGCCTGACCTCTGCCCTGGTCGGGTAAGTTCTGTAACTCCACCAGTAAGTGCTCAGAGGCACCCCACTCTGCAAGAAAGCTTTGGCCTAAAGGCACTCAGCACACCCACTGGAGCTGCTACTCTCCATGGGCTGGGAAGAGCTCTGCACCTGCTGCCAGTCTGGTTCTGCTGCCTCTGTTTCTCTGCCACTGCTTCTCATCATCTCTTGCTGTCTCCTGTTACAGCTCTGTCTCTTGGGTCTAGGAGGTTCTCAATGCAGGGACCTCAGGTCCAAAACAGATGCTCCACTCTTAGCCATTCTTTCTTGGTGATATTAAGGTCAATCCTTTACTCTAGGATTGGCTCTTTTAAGATTAGGAAGATGGGAAAACTGACCAATCCCATCCTTAGGGTTCTATACATCTTATTGGCAGGATCCCACCCCAACAGCAGTCCCATGCACCTTATTTGCATTATTAGAAGCTGTTCAATCCCCTTGGTGGGCCCTAGACACCTTATCTGGTGGGCCACAAACACCTTATTTGCATAGACCCAGTCATTGTGTGGGTATTACAAGACCATAGTGAGAAAGGCCATATAAAGTGATCCATCTTACCATACCCACTGCAAACATTTCTCTACCCACCTGAAGGAGAACTCAGAAACCTCAGCCCTTCCCAGCTCTAAATACTTGAAACATCTCTAGCCTTGAATTAGTGATTGAGGCAGCAACATATTGTAAACTTCAGTACACCCTGAAGTCAGGAACTGGGGACTTGGAGAAGTTGAGTAACTTGTCCAAGATTGCTCAGCTACATGACAGAGAAAGACTGAAACTTAGGACTACCTGTGACTATAGATTGTTGTTGTTGTTGTTATGTGCCGTCGAGTCGGCCCCGACTCATAGCGACCCCTCCTTGGGTTTCCGAGGCAGTATCACTACGGAAGTAGGATTGCCCAACCTTCCTTCCGAGGAGTGGCTGGTGGGTTTGAACCGCCAGCCGTCTGGTTAGCAGGCAAGTGTCTTAGCGTGACTATAGATAGCAGACTCCAAACCATTTATTTGGAGGAGCCCTGGTGGTGCAGTGGGTAAAGCATTCAGCTGCTAACCAAAGGGTCATCAGTTTGAACTCACCAGCTGCTCCACAGGAGAAAGATGAGGCAGTGTGCTTCCATAAAGATTTACAGCCTTGGAAACCCTATGAGGCAGTTTTACTCTGTCCTAAAGGGTTACTATGACTCAGAATCAATTCAATGGCAGTGGGTTTGATTTTATTATTATTATTTGTAACCATGTGTTTTTCTGTCACTTACTTAGAATGTGGCTTTGAACAAACTAACTGTTCAATAAGTGTTAGTTCACTGGCTACTGTTTCACTGTCCTGTTGCCCCATAGAAGAGAAATGGTTTGACCCTAGGTTCAAGCTAGGCCCCAGTGAAACAGGCAAGAAGAGGCAGAAAATGAGAACTTGGCTTACAACAGAGGCTAGGATTGGGGAACAGACATCTTAGAAGGGCCAGGCACCTAGGCAACAGAGAGGGTGAGAAAGCTGTGCAATTCCTACACAAAGCCATCCACTTGCAGGACCTAGAGGACTCAGGGGAATTGTCAGTAAATGCTTGAATCTCCTCCATGCTGTCCACTGAGAGCCCTTCTGGCCTTGACTTGGCATACCTCTAGAGACAGGAGCCTCACTTCCTTATGAAGCAGTCCCTTCCACCTTTGTGACTGGAAGGAAGGCCTTCTTTGAATGGAGCTGAAACCTATATCCTTGCTCTGCCCTCTTAGATTTTTTTTTCCCAGTAACTAGAAGAGTCTTGCAAGCCAGGAAGGGGTTAGAATGACTTTATTTTAAATGTGGGCAGAGATCAGAGGCAGTTGGCAAGGGGGAGAAGTGGCTGAGGGTCCGGAAGCTGTGCAGGAAAGATAAGGGTTTGAGCTGCCAGGGTGCCCTAGTGAAGCATTGTCCGAACTCTGCAATAGGGGTGACCCATGCCACAGCCCGAGCCCCAGTCAATGCCATATGTGTGGGCTGTGGCCTCAGACACCACATACTGTCCATTAAGATTGAATTTATAGCATGATCCATACCACCAGGCACCATGGACAACTGCCACACAATTGCCCCTGCTGATATTGTGGGAGCTCTGGTAGCATAGTGCCTAAGGCACTTGACTGCTAACCAGAAGGCTGGTGGTTCGAACCCACCAGCCACTCCTCGAAAGGAAGACTGGGCAATCTACTTCCGTAGAGATACTGCCTTGGAAACCCAAGGAGAGGTCGCTATGAGTGGAATGGACTCATCGGCAGTGAGTTGGCTTTTTTTTTTTTTTTTGGTGTCATGGTCAGTGCTTGTTGTTGTTGTTGTTGTTGTTTGCTGTCAAGTCGGCCCCGACTCATAGCGACCCCTCCTTGGGTTTCCGAGGCAGTATCACTACGGAAGGAGGATTGCCCAACCTTCCTTCCGAGGAGTGGCTGGTGGGTTTGGGTTTGAACCGCCAGCCGTCTGGTTAGCAGGCAAGTGCCTTAGGCACTATGCTACCAGAGCTCCTATGGTCAGTGCTATAGGTGGTAAAGTGCTTCTCACTGTGGAAGCTCAGGGAGTCTTCTGGCAGGGAAGGGACAGTATTATCTCACAGGAGCTCAAAGCAACTATGAGGTGGAGGTTTTCAGGCCCTGTGAGAAAGCAGCAGTGCCAAGGGGCCAGGTTGCTTGCCCAAGGTCACCCACTAGTCACAGGGACACTGGGACTCAAACTCAGGACTGTTTGGCTCCAAAACCACCAGCTTTTCCCTCTGCCTTGTCCTTGCCCAGAATCCCCAGTTTCCCTTTAGTTCCTTGGTTCCCTCCCAGCGCTCAGCAGCAGCCTGAACAACTCTGCCACATGAAGAGCTGGGAGGAGACTCTTGAGTCCCTCGGCAGGAAAGGGGGCTCCCTGAGGCACTTCACCATAACCACTTCCCTCTTTGAAATCTCTCCCCAACAGTCGCTGTTTCTCTGAAAAAATTTCCATGGTTCCTCTTCTGAAACAGAGCCTCAGATGGCACACTGCCTCCTCCTTGCCTCCATGCCCATTTTCTAGGGGAGGAAGTCGAGGGTCTGATGGGGAGGGGACTTGTCCAAGGTCACATAGTCAAGTGGCAGAACTGGGTTCAAAATCAGGTCTCTTTTACCTTCAGAGCCTGAATTCTCCACTTGGGTCTTCAGGCAGGTGGTTCTCCAAACAGCAGGAGCAGCAAGAAGGGTGGGTGGGATCCACAATCAGTCTGTTTTGCTGGTGCCACAAGAGGGAAGATGCCAACTTAAATGAAGGCCAGACTGGTAGGGGGATGTGGAGCCAGACTTTTCCCAGTGTCCCCCAATTACACCCCACCCAGGCTGGAACCAGCAGGAAGTAGGAGCATTCCCTCCCTCAGCCCCAGAGAGAATGGGCACTCTCCCTGCCCTGTTCACACAGGACAGAGTTCAACTCCTGATCCTGGCCTTCAGGGCTCTCCAACCTCCTCTCCAGGACTCTGAATTCACACAGAGTTTTTCTGCCTTTGAACCTTGGCTCATGCTATTCCTTCCACCTGGAAGTCTCTTTTTCTTCTCTACCTGTGAAATCCCACCTGTTCATGAAGACCTCCAGCCCTGATGCCATCTGCACTAGCAATCCTTCCCTGATCCTTGTCAACAGTATCGATAATGAACACAGCCACCACTTATTGGACACCCAGGGCACCCCAGATGACACACTGGTTGCTATTGGTCATCATCTCCGATCTTTACACAGCCTGCTCATAGTCATTATGACTGGATCTGGATTATAGGTCTGGTACAAAGCAGGCCTGCAATAAATATTTGTTAAATGAATGTATGTTGTTGTGGGTAGGTGCCATTGAGTTGGCTCCAACTCATAGCAGCCCTATGCACAACAGAAGAAAACACTGCCCCGTCTTGTGCCAGCCTCACAATCCTTGCTATATTCAAGCCCATCATTGCAGCCACTGTGTCAATCCATCTCGTCGAGGGTCTTTCCCTTTTTCTCTGACCCTCCACTTTACTAAGCATGATATCTTTCTCCAGGGAAAGGGTCCCTTCTGACAACATGACCAAAGTAGGTGAGACGAAGTCTGGCCATTTTTGCTTCCAAGGAGCATTCCGGCTTCACTTCTTCCGGGACAGATTTGTTCCTTCCTCTGGAAATCCATGGTATTTTCAGTGTTCTTCTCAGACACCATGATTCAAAGGCGTCAACTCTTCTTCAGTCTTTCTTACTCATTGTCCAGCTTTCACATGCATATGAGGTGACGGAAAAGACCATGGCTTGGGTTAGGCCAATTATTATGAATGAATAGAGAAAGGGAAACCAAGGCTGATATGGACATAACTTGTATTCTCTGTGACAATTTTTATGCCCAGAGCCACAGATATTTACCCAAGCCCCATGCTCCCCACCAGAGCTAAAGTATCCTTAAGAAAGTGACTTAATACCCAACTTGAGTCCCTCGAGGAGTCCCTTACAGGGCTTAAGAAACAGCTGTTAATATAGGTCACCCATGTGGGCAGCCCATGCAAGGGGAGCCCGGGAGGCTGGGAGGCCAAAGAGGAGGCAGGTGTCAAGGTCTGGATGTGAGGGATGAGGCCTGAGCTGAAGGGGTGGGTGGTCACAGGGGAGGGGAGGGAGGGCTCCTTTATATATTTAGCAAACCCTCCCTGAGGGCCTCCTCTGTGTCAGGCCCATTACTGGTAGGGAGGGGAAGGAGCTGAGGTGCAGGGGGTGCCAATGGAGGTGGAGGAGGAGTCTGCCCGGTGTGATGAATATATGGGATGGATGCCCTGAGACCCTGCAATTCCAGTTCTAGGAATCTGTCCTCCCAAAACACTTCCGCAGCTGTGCCCACACTGAGTAGCCTGTTCACCAGGGTGGTTCATAACCATCAGCGGGCCCCAGCTGGCATCACTAGGATCCAGGCAAGTAAATTATGACCTCTGGGCAGTCATAGAGCAAACATGCAGAACAACATGTAGAATATGATCCTATTTTCTATTTCAAAACAGCTAAATGGATATATGTTGTTGGGTGCCACTGAGCCAATTTTGATCCACCGTGTCCTCATGTCACAGAGCAGAATTGCCCCATAGGGTTTTCTTAGCTGTAATTTATATAGATTTCCAGGTCTTCTTCCAGTGGAGCCACTAGTTGGGTTTGAACTGCCCAACTTTTGGTTAGCAGCTGAGCACGTAACCATGACCACCACCAGGGCTCCATGAATATGCTATATATTTTGTAAATCCACAGAGAAAGGTCTGACACACACTGTTAAACCACTTGCCATCGATTCTGACTCATGGCAACCCACACATATCAGAGTAGAACTATGCTCCGTGGGATTTTCAATGGCCGATTTTTCAAAAGCAGATTATCAGCCCTTTCTTCTTATGAGGTGCCTCTAGGTGGACTCAAACCTCTGACCTTTTGGTCAGCAGCCAAATGCGTTCACTATGTGCACCATCCAGGGACTTCCACACATACTGTTTACTGCAGTTATTTCTGGGGAGTGGGACCAGGGAGGAATGATTCTCATTCTTTATATAAACCTCTATATCACTCTTTATAGAAACATTTTGTTTCCTTATAGGCATTTACTACTTTTTGAAAGCATGCAATAAAGAAGAGGGTAAGGAAAAAAAATTGCTGGAGGGAGAAGCCAGGGGAAGGTGATTGGCAGGAGGAGGTACGTGTGCAAAGGCTTGGAGAAGAGAGAAAGTCAAGCTGGGTAACAAGAAGTGAATCCAAGTAGACGCAGGAGAGCTCCAAGGGGCGGCTGACGTCTGAGAGGATGAGGCAGCTTTGGTGGGCTCAGTGTGGGAGGAGAGGCAGGAGTGAGGAGCTGGACGGCTGTGTTCAGCACCCTGTGTGACGGTGTGATTGTGGGGCCAGAGATTAGCGGAGCTACCTGTGAACCCCAGGGTACTTCAGAGCCCTTCCAGCTGCAGCCAAAGACCCCACTGAAGGGAGGCTGGGATGCAGGAAGGAGGAGGTGCAGAAGGCTCACCCAGAAGGTCCACAGCTGTAAGAGTGGACAGGGTGCCCTAGAATGAAGTGAACTCTCTCCACATCCCACTAGATGGAGACTGTTGTCATTCCCACTTTACAGATGAAAAAACTGAGGCCCAGAGCTGTTAAATAACTTGCTCGAGTTCACACAGAGCAGTCGGCTCCACAGGCTGAACTCACAACCATTACTCTCTGCTGCCTTCCAGCTTCCTAGGAGAAAGGTGTCAGACCCATAGCCACAGGCCTGCCTCCCAGCGAGTGCCCGATCAGTGCTCCCACCGTTAGAGGAGAAGACTTCTGAGCCCAGGGATGGCCAGAGCGTCTCTACCTCCAAACTCGGAGGTCAAAACTTAACTTTAGGGAGCTGAGAGAGCCTGGAGAAGCTTCCGAAGGGGAGTTCTGATGTTCTGCTCAGCTTGGAGTCAGAAAAATCTGGATTCAAACCCCAGCCTGCTGTAAGTGGCTGTGTGACCTTGAGCAAGCGTACTTACCTTGCCAAGTGTGTCCTCAACTGTAAAGGGCTAGGGGGTGGACAGTATAACAGTTAACAGATGAAGATATTTTAAAAGGCAACAGCAACAGTCCTAGGTAGGGTTCCTGTTAAGAAGAGGACAGTGGCCATACCACCACCTCCATTCCAACCCACATGCCGCCCAGGACACAGATATAAACAGTGCTGGAAGGAGTTCTTTATTTGGGGCCAGTGCCCAGGGCAGATCGCTGGGAAGAAGCAGGCACAGAAGCCAGGTGCCAGGCCAGGGGCCTTCCGCAGGTAATGGATGATGACACAGGAGGTGGGTGGGGATGCTCTCCGCTGGCCCAGGACAGAAGGGGATGTCTGAACCCTGTTTCAGGGTTTCAGAGGCCAGTAATTGATGGCCAAGTTTTTCCCACCCCCAGTGCTCACGAGGCACCAAGAAGGCAACCTCTGTGTCCTTCTTCCCTTCCATGTGGAGTTCAGGCCCAGAGAGGGTCAGATTCTGTGGGGACCAGACAGAGAGGGTGCTCAGGGAGGTGGCCCTGCCTCAGCTGGGCCAAGGACTCCTACCCCCAGAGAGCAGGCAGTGGCTGAAAGAACAGACACTTTAATGTGGGCGGCAGCGAACCACCCCACAGCATACACGGCACACAGGGGCTCAAGCATGGCTCCTCTTCTCGGAGAAAATCAAATTGCACACATGGCCCCAGCTCGGCCTATGGTCACAGGACTGCAGGGCCGAAGGCTCACCTGGGCATCCCCTACTGGTTCTCCTCCCTGTGGCAGCACGAGGAGGCAAAGACACAGGTGGGCTCAGCTGGGGTCTCAGACACTTGGCCCAGGCTGAACCAAGAGTCCTGGTCCCAGCCCACATCTGGCAGAGGGAGCCCCACAGCTGAAGAGGTGTGGCTCATGGTGGGGACAGAAGTTATTATTCTTGTTGCTACCTCATGGGGAAAAGAGTTCCCTGGGTACTGAGGAGAATTAGGGACAAAAGGACTCCAGCAGCTGGTCAGTTACTCACAGTGTCTGGTAGGTGCTGTCCTTGGCCTTGAGGAAGCGCAACACAAAGAAGGCCACTGCCTGCAGGCTCAGCACCAGCACGACACCCCCAATGAAGCTGGCTCCATCAAAGCCAGGGCTAGGGCCTTCAGGGACCAGGGGGCTTCCTGCAGGGGAAGGGCAGGGTCAAGGTCACAGCAAGCTACCATGCACCAGGATCCCAGCCCTGATCCCATAACCAAAGCAGGCACTTCAAGGCCCATCCTCACAATGGGGGCTCTGAACACAAGGCTCAGTAGGTCAACCCAGATCGTGCCGTGGGCATTTGGGAAGTGCCTGGTGGGAGGCAGGATGGGCTGGCTCTGCCTGGCCTGGCTCTGCTTATGAGTTGCTCTGTGGCCTTATGCCTCCCACACCCTCTCTGGGCTTCCTGTTCACACAAGCCCAATGGGGAGCTGGACTCCCCCCCAGCCTGCCTGTCCCAAACTGGCCTACAGGGTGAGGATGGACCCACCAACCTAGAGTCCTTTCAGCCTCGGGTCATGGGGTTCAGAGCCCAGACAAAGATGACATGAACTCTTAACCCTGCAGATCCCAGAGTCACCCAATGTCAGGGGCCCTTACAGGGGGAAGAAAGAGGAAGAAGAAAGGCCCTGACTGGGCAAGGCCAACACCTGTGAGCAGGTAAATGGAGGCTAGCTAGTGGATGTCAGAGGGAGAAACTAGGCTCCGAGGGTCAGCATGCCCAAAGTCACCCCCCAGTCAGGACAGAGCTGGATTCCTATGAGGTCCTCTGGCCCTTAGAAGGTACAGTCAGGGCTCACGATTGCCAGGCTGTGCCTGGGTGGCTCCCAGCTGTGCCACTTTACCCATCAACTTCCACCACAGATTCAATTTCAGTCTTTGGGCCCAGTGCCCAGGGCAGGGCAGGGCTAGCGGGTGGGAGAGTACCCTGGGACAGTGGACAGGGGCCCAGCTGGCCCCTCAAGCTGGGTCCACCTCTCAGCAGGGAGGGGTCTGAGAATATGAAGGGCACAGGGTGGCCCCTGCTGCAGCTCAGGGAGCCCCAGAGAAGGGCACTGAAGGATGAGGAGGAAAAGATGCAGAAATCAGCCACACAAGGCTGATCTGGGGCTTGAGCTGGAGAGAGCACAGCCATCAATAATTCAACCTCAAGATCGTGTTTCTGGCTTTAATTAACCACGGGCCTCTTCAGCCACCCCTGCCCAGCTCGGTGACCTCCAGGCCCTGAGGGGCAGTGGGAACCAAGAGGCGGGGTTCTTGCTTCTGCTGTGCTTGGAACCTGCTTTGTGACCCCGTCTGGGCCTGGAGGTTGCATTAAGTGGCCAATGAGGACCACTTCTTACTGGCAACCTGAGCTACACAGCCTCAGCACCAAGGACAGGTCTCAAGAGCATCCACCTTGAGTTCCCAGAACTGGTGGTGGTGGGAGAAGGGGGGAACCATTGTTTCTTGATCAGTTTCTATGTGTCAGACACTGAACCAGTCAAGATATACCCATAATCTCAAAAATTTCACAGAAACTATGCAAAGTAGGTATTATCCAGCCCATTGCTTACTTAAGTCTGGAAACAGGCTCAAAGGGAGAGTCACAGGCTTGAGGTCACAGACCACAACAATGGCTGAACCCAGGCCTGTCTTTCCCTGCATCTTTGGTCCTTCTATCACCCCATCCCTCCAGAAGGTACCTACCTGTTGTGATTGTCTTCGGTTGATAGGTGGGGTGATGGTGGGCAGCTGAGGAAACAGAGAATCCATAATAAATAGCCCTCCCGTCCCCTGATTGCCAGAGAAACTCCAGTCCAGGGCAACAGCCTGACTTCTGCTCAGATCAGCACCCTCTCCCAAGATTCAGGTAAACCTGAAATACTTTCATGCCTTAGTTTATATAGTTCCTTCTGACAGATTGCCTTCTCTCCATCTCTACCTTCAAGGCTCATCTCTAATGTCACTTCCTCCAGGAAGCCCTCCAGTCTCTTTTAAACTTCCAAAACTTTAAGTAAAAAGGAGAACTATGCACATATACACACTTGTCTTAGATACCGCCCTTTCCCCAAACTCTACCCATTTACAGATGAGGAAACAGTGCAGAGGAGAGGGGACTATCCAGTGAGTTGAAGGCAGAATTAAGGCTGGATCCAGGTGTTACAAGGACATGGGTCACTCTCCAAGAGAGGCTGGCTCTTTTCTGGAGGGCAAGCTCTGGCTGGGGGACACTTCCGCTCCTCTCCCTCCAACTTGGGTTAGGCCAGGGGGAGCACCCTTACCTGGACACACCTCTGAGTGGTTGTAGACAGAGCAGCCTTCCTTGACCACTTCAGCTTGGGCCACACAGTGTCCTGGTAGGAGAAGGTGCAGGGAAGAGGTTTGGGAAGAGGGGCTAAGGCCCTGGGGTTCAGAGCTGAGGGCATTAAACGTGGAGTGGGCCCACCTCCATCCTGTACCTGGCTCCTCGGGGTGGCATTTCTCCCACACGCAGCCTGAGACGTTGTGTGCTCTGTCCCCCTCCACACAACGCTCACAGAGCTCCAGCTCTCTGCAGCCCCTTTGGACAGCTGGCCAGATGTTCAGGTGGAGCAGGGCACCCCGCCCAAAGCCTAGTGCTCCTTTACCTGGGGCAGGGGCAGGGGCAAGGGGACAGGGACAAGGGAACAAGTCCTGGAACTGAAGCTGCAGGGGCTTCCATCCCTGTGCACACACCTCAGTTCCCACATACAAAAACGCAGCACCCCCAAGCCCCTCTACACACTTGGAGGTGCCACAAACACATGGTTATACAGAACAAGAACCTTTCCCACATTCACCCAGAGCCCCTCCCTTCGCACATACCTGGGATTCCCAGATACATTTGGAGCCACCTCCCCAGATGCAACTGGGGCACCTTCCCTGCCATACCTCTAAAGCGCCCTAATCCTCCACACTCCAGAGCCTTTATATAACACAGGGTTCCACACACAGCTGAAGGCCCCTTCTTCTACCCACCCCTGGAGCCCTGACACGTCTGGAAAGGCTCCTCCCCACCTCCGAAGCCCAGGCCCCTCCTGGGTAAGAGGCTTTTTCCACCTCCCCCTGCCCAGATGCCTAATCAGACCCGGCCCCGAGTTACCAGCCACAGAGAGCTGAGTGCACAGCAGGAGGCAGCAGCAGCAGCTACAGAGCACAGCCTGCAAGGCACGGGGTCCTGGTGCCGCCATGGGCGCGGGGTCGGGGGCTGGGGCTTCGCTGATTGCTGGTGCAGCCCGCCCCTTCACAACTCAGCTCTGCTGAGCGTGTGAGGCGTGAGACCCGGGCAACAAGGGCAGGGCCAGACGGGGGCGGAGTCACTAAGGGGGCGTGACCAGTAGGGGGCGTGACCAATGGGCGCGGCCAGACGGGGCTGAGCTCACTGGTCCCGGCGGTGCCAGGAGAAGGAGCTACCAAATAGGGGCGTGGCTAGTGACTAGATCAGGTGGGTCTGGGTTCGGTGGTCTGGGGCAGGGGTTGGAAGAAGGGGCGGAGGCGAGAACTAGACTTGGGGACTGGATCCCCGCAAGGGGCAGCTTCACGCTAATTCTGCTGAGTAGCAACTATTATTCCTTTCTCACAGGTGAGGAAACAGGCTCTGACAAGGTGAGTGACGAGTCGAGTTTACAGAGCAAGTTAGTAGCAAAACCTGGATTTGAAGTGAGGTTCAAACATGACTGTCTCAGTGCAGGCCGGCCTTCTAGGTTGCACCCTCCAGCCAAGCCTCAGGACTGCTGGGACAGGCCTCAGTTGAGCCCTTGCCTCTGGGTGAGCTGCTCAGCCTCAGCTCCCTCTCAGTCTTGCTTCTCACCCTTGCACTCTCCTCCCTTCTGCCCCACACCCCTCCCTCTGTCCTGTGCCCACCACACTCTCTGGTCAAGTCACACTATCACTAGCTCAACTGGGCCTTTCTGCAGCCTCCCCAGGGCCACCATGACTGATGCCCCTTCGAGTTCTCCTGTAGTCATTTTTCATGGTCCTTAGAATGTGCTGCCTCCTTGTCCTCTCCTTTCTTTCCTTTTTTTTTTTTTTTTAAATATTGTGATTGGGTGAAAGTTTATAGAGCAAATTCATTTTCCTTACAGCAGTTCACACACATTTTATCTCATGACATTGGCTGCAATTTCCCACAAGGTAACAGCTCTCTTCCCACTTCCTCCCTGTAGTTACCTCTTCCCTGAATCCTTCCCTCCCATGCACTCTTGCCCCCCCCCCAGCTGTCTCACTGTGCAAACACTGCCCTTCTGTTCTCCCATGACTGATTGCTCCAAGGAGTGTATCTATCTACCTGATGTAAATGTTCACCCCATATACCTATCTATTGTTTGCCTGGAAGCCACGGGAGTGAGTTCAATTCCAGGCCTGAAAGGTGGCTAGGGGCCATAGTCTCAGGGGTTCCACCAGCCTCTATCAAACCAGTAAACCTGGTCATTTTCTCGTGGTTTTGAGTTTTGTTCCACACTGTTCTCCCACTCTATCCAGGATCTCCTGCACTGATCCCTTTCTCTTCCTCTCCGTTCTCCCCGTCTCTCCTCTGCCTCCTTTCCTGTCCTCCTTCTCCCCCCTCTTTTCTCTCCCCCCCTCCTCCTCCCCCCCTTTTCATTGCTGGTGCTCCAGTGCAATCCTGAGTCTTATTCTACATTCTCCTGGACCATATTGGTCATTTCTCTTATCATCAGTTTCCATTTGAAAGCCACATCTCCATCTCCAGCACAGTTAGTTCACCCCATGCCACACCTGTAACTGATAAATAAATAAACCAAACTCACTGCCATCGAGTCAATTCTGACTTACAGAAACCCCCACTGGGTTTCCAAGGCTGTAAATCTTTACAGAAGTAGATTGCTCCAATAAATAGTTGACAGTTACCGACACCTTCCTATGTGACAGATACAGTCTGTTATTTGCTACATTTCATCTGATGTCTGCAAGCACCCTCCCAGCACGGGTTTGTCCTCTCCAGTTTGCAGACTTGAAAACTGATATCACCTGTCTGGGCACACACAGTTATAACGTGGTGTGCCAGGGAGTTCAGCACTGAGGCCAGAGGTCATTCTCTACTCTGCTGGCCCTTCTGTGAGTCCATGTCAAGGATAGAATTGTGTCTCCCCAAAATTTGTGTCAACTTGGCTAGGCCATGATTCTCAGTGGTTTAGAAGTTATGTAATGATGTAATGTGGCAGATAAGAAATGATACCCCATGGTGTGATAAGCCTATCATGTGTAAAAGGATTAGGGTTAAAGGTGGGTTGCAACACCCTTAGTCCCATCACAGCCCTGATCCATGTAAGGGGAGCTTCCCTGGGTGTGGCCTGCAATACCTTCTATCTTACAAAAGATAAAGGAGATAGAAGTGAGCAGAGTGGGGACCTACTACCACCAAGGAAGAGGAGCCAGAAGTGAGGGGTATTCTTTGGACCCAGGGTCTCTGCACTGGGATCCTCCTAGGAACAAGAGACACATGGAGAGAGAGAGAGAGAGCCCCCTAGAGGTGGCACTCTGAACTCCGACTTCCCGACTCATCTTCCCCTAGAGCTGGTACTCTGAATCTGGACTTCTAAACTGTAAGAGAGGAGCTCTGGTAGCGTAGTGCCTAAGGCACTTGACTGCTAACCAGAAGGCTGTTTGTTCAAACCCAGCAGCCACTCCTTGGAAGGAAGGTTGGGCAATCTACTTCTGTAGTGATACTGCCTCGGAAACCCAAGGAGGGGTCGCTATGAGTCAGGTCTTGACGGCACATAACAACAACAACAACAAACTATAAGAGAAGAAATTTCTGTTTGTTAAAGCCACCTATTTGTGGTGTTTCTGTTATAGCAGCACTAGAGAACTAAGACAAGGAGCTCTGGTAGTGTCCCGGTTAAGGCATTTGGCTGCTAACCAAGTCTGGTGGTTAGAACCCACCAGCCACACTGTGTGGAAGAAAGAGGAGGCAGTCTGCTTCCATAAAGATTTACAGCCTTGGAAACCAAATGGGGGTCTCTGTGGGTTGTAATCAACTTGATGGTAGAGTTTTTTTGGAGAGAACTAAGACAGTCCATCTGCTTCCTGGGTACCTCCATGGGGGTGTCCCTCAGACTTCTGAAACTGATCAACCCCTCCCCCCCACAGGGAAGCACCAACAAGCCTCCACCCCATCCCCGTCGCCCAGGTCAGCCGTGGTCCCATTCTCACTCCCTCTGTCTCAGTCCCCAGATTAAAATCTTTCAGCTTCTGCTTCTACATGTTCCTTCACCCTCCCTCTCCTGGCCTCACTGCCTCCTAGCCTCCAGGCCCCTCAGCAAGCCCTCAAAGTACAGGGTTCTCCTGAAACCTTGGATTTGATCATGTCTCTTCCAGTTAACAACTTCTCAACAATGGCTTGGCCTCTTGAACCCTTCAATTTCTGGCACCTTGTTGTTGTTGTTGTTGTTATGTGCCATCGAGTCGGACCCGACTCATAGCAACCCCTCCTTGGGTTTCTGAGGCACTATCACTACAGAAGTAGATTGCCCAACCTTCCTTCTGAGGAGTGGCAGGTGGGTTTGAACCTCCAGCCTCCTGGTTAGCAGTCTTGCTACCCTCTAAAAACTAGAACAGCTCCCCCTCTTTTTCTCTTCCATACCTCTTTGTCTTTATTATAGCTGTCTCTCTGCTGAAGTCCTCTTCCGCTCCTAAACTAATCCTTCAAGGCCACCTCCTGCAGGAAGTCCTCTGTGACTTTCTCAGCAAAGCTGAGGTGCTGTAGCATGTCTGAGCATTTGCCCTACCATGGATCAGGCTCCATCTGCTTCTCCACATCCTAGCCTCACCCCTCACCATCTTTTACTTGGATGACTGCAGTGACTCCTACTAGGGATCCTGCTTCTGACAATCCCCCCCCCACACCCACACACATACATATTTCTGTCCAGTCTGTTCTCTATTCAGCATTCAGAGTGATCCTTTGAAAACTTAAGTCAGATCACACACACACACATGCACACACACACACATTCCAGTTGCTTTTGAGTCCATTCCAACTCATGGTGACCCCATGCATGTCAGAGTGGAATGGTGCACCATCACGTTTCCAATTGCTGACTCACTGGAAGTAGATTGCCAGGCCTTTCTTCCAAGGTGCTTCTGGGTGGATGCAGACCACCATTAGTGCCACCCAGGGGTTCCTCAGATCATCACTCCTCTGCTTAAACCCTCCAGTGGCTCTCATCTCACTTCTCACCATGACTTACAAGCCCCTACATGACCTTCCCCTTGCCCATCTTTCTGAGCTCAACTCCTACTTCTTTCCTCTGCTCATTAGGTTCCAGACGCACTAGCCTCATCTCTATTCCTCAGAGATACCCACCTCAGTCTCTTCTCAGGAGCTTTGCTCTTGCTGTGCCCCTCCTTGAAACTCTTCTCTTCTCTCTTCAAGTGACCAGCTCAACAACCTCTCCTACTGGAAAGAGCTCTTCCACTTATTCTACATCACAACACCTGCTTTTCCCTTCAGAGCAGGTATCCAATATGTAATTAATTATTCATTTGTCCCTCATCTATTGTCTGTGTACCCCGCTAGGCAGTAAGCTCCATGAAGACAGAAGCTATGTTCTTCACTGCTTAATGCCCTGTAGGTGGTAAGGTCTAAGCAGATGTTTATTAAGTAACCATACTGTCCTGTGTTGTGATTGTTGTGTACATGTTTGTCTACCTACCCCACTGGTCTGTAAGAGCCTCAGTGGCTCTTTACTTAATATCATGTGAAGCATCTATTTGTAGATTGTCCATCTCTCCCCATAAGAACGGAAACTCCATAAAGAAGGCAAGTTTGTTCATTGCTGTATCAATTCCTTGGGTCCAGAATCGTGCCTGAAAAATATGAGATGCTCATTAAATATTTATTGAATGTTGAAAATGCAAGAAAATGGTTAGATAAGCTCTCTGTCCCTCACACCCACCCAAGCCAAGGCCCAGAAGAACCATTAATGAATATTGGCTGAATGGGTCTGTGCTAAGAATGTATGCACCAACTCTTGGGGCTTGGACAAGGGGCTTATGGGTGGAGGTGATCTGTCTTGTCACACACTCTCTCTTTCTCTCGCTCTCCCTTCAGAGCCTGTTGTTGTTGTTATGCGTCGAGGAGTGGCTGGTGGGTTTGCACCACCAGCTGTCTGGTTAGCAGGCAAGTGTCTTAGCCACTATGCTACCAGAGCTCCTTCAGAGCCTAGGT